TAATAATTAAGTTTAAAAATAATAATTATATAATAATAATAATTATATTTTAGTGGTTTCAGTGATTAAATAAATTTACATTATAACAAAATGGATGTTGCCGGAGATTTAACACTACAATGGGTGGAGGAGGTAGGAAATGTCATTCACGAAGAGGTAATATGCGGTTTAGAGGCACAGCTTGTAGGAGCAGAAGAGGAAGTGATAGGAGCTTGTGAAGAAGTTGCAGTAGAAGAAACAGTAGAATCTGTTCCCAATGTTACCTCTACAACAGAGTCAGAAATATTAATGGTACCACAATCCAACGATATGGAATCTATTTACATAGTTCCACAAGATCAAGGTCATGACTATTTAAATATACAAGTCACAGAAGAAGTTATTGCAGATAATTGGGATAGATCTGGTCCAGAAGATGGGTAAGTTTGCATAAAATATTTGTTTAAATTAGATAGAGTAAATAGAATAATTAATTAATTTTATACTTTAAAGGGTTGAAATACCAGAAGCAAAAGTATCTCATGAAAATTTGCTTGAATATGATGATATGGAGATACCACTACCAATTGATCAAGATTCTTATACAAATAGTAGGCCTTACCCATGTGACTTTTGTAGCAGAAGGTTCAGGAAAAAAGCAAATTTAATGAATCATATGGTAGCACATCAGACAGATCGACCTCATGGTTGTAATTTATGTGGAGCACGTTATGCAAGAAAGTGTGATCTTATGAATCATTTGAAGATTCATGCATATGCACCATCCCGGGATGGTTTAGAGGATGATTTAAATGATGATGATTCATTTGCGCCAGAAGAAGAAGAATCTACCAAAGGTAGACGTAAAAAGATGCAGTCAAGTATACCAAGAAAACGTAAAAATAATTCTGCTATTTCCAAACGTAATATGGAAGATAATAAGATGGAAATGGGCAAGTACATCAATAAATCTTACGATTATGTTGATGAGGATATGCGTCTTTTGGAAGAAATGACTAGTAGAAATTCTGCGCGCAGTAGTAACTATGCATCAAGCTCAAGATGGACTGAACAGATGTCACCTGTATCAACTGAACATCAAGCACCACGATGGCCTATAACTGATCCAACAAAACCATATGTTTGTCAGTATTGTGGTGTTGGTTTTGCAAGGGAAAAAGCACTTGCATCTCATGCACGTATACATGGTGGTGATAGTCCATTTGAATGTACATCTTGTGGTGACATGTTTTGGGATGTTAATAGTTTAAGAGAACATGTTCGTATCAAGCATGGTGGTACAGTACAATCTGATACAGAAGAGTATGATAATGATGCTACATATACAGGCGATGAAAGATTTGGAGAATTCTATTGCAATACTTGTGGTGTTCCTTTTCATCGTTTGGATTTACTTAAACGTCATCAGAAGTAAGATTATCTTATAGCAATAGACATAGTATATTTATTCATTAAGATTATATATAATTATTAAAATTGCATTTTATATCAATTCTCCACTAATTTATAGGAAAATTAACAACAATACGATATTAATTTTAATGTTGATTACATTAGGATTCATGTCAAACAAGAAGCTGATATGGTGGAAGGTCCAAGTCAACATCATGTTTGCAATGTTTGTGGTGAATGGTTTGAGGAAGCTTTGGCATTATTGGCACATGCCGAACTTCATGCTAGGTACTATTTATTTAAGACTCTTTAATTTTTTAAAATTAAAATTTGCAGCTTTACAGCAATAATAGTTCTGAAAATTTATATCTAACATTTAGATAAATATTAATAAAACAAACTTGTTCAGATCACCTAGTCGGCGATGCCTATTATGCGGTGAAAGATGTCGTGATGACGCAGAAGTTGCTGAACATGTTCGACAACATCATGCAGAAGATGCTCCACCAAATACATGTACTCTTTGTGGGAAAACATGTAAAGATAAACGAAGTTTATTAAAGCATTCGTGGGTTCATAATGTTGATAAAACTTTTGGTTGTACAAAATGTGGGAAACGCTTTCACAGTAAAGCTAGATTACGAAGGTATTTATTGTAGGTTATTTTATATACCTGTAAATCAAATATTTTACTTACTGTTTAATTTTGTTTTAGACATATGGTTTCTCATCGCAATAAAATGGTAGCTTGTGATGAGTGTGGAGAAGAATTTCCTGATGGTAGAGCTCTTGTTAGTCATCGTCATTCACATAACAAAGATCTAGGTGGTCGTTCTTTTCCATGTCGAGAATGTGGAAAAACATTTGGCAGTCGTAGTTCACAACAAATTCATATTCGTATTCACACTGGAGAAAGACCTTATGGTTGCAGATTTTGTTGGAAAGCATTTGCTGATGGTGGTACGTTAAGAAAACACGAACGTATTCACACAGGAGAAAAGCCATATGGATGTGCAATTTGTCCGCGTGCGTTTAATCAAAGAGTAAGATATTTTAATTGAAATATGTAGTTATAATATTCCATTTGATATTATATTTCAGTGCTTGCTTTTTTTTAACTGGTTTAGGTTGTTCTTAGAGAACATGTTCGTGCTCATCATTCGGGTCCTGATCCAAAATGTGTAGGTAGTATTACTCCATACTTATGCAAAGTATGTGGTGATGCATACGGAACATCAGAAGAAATAGTTGCTCATATTGTGCAACATTGTGATGATAATACTGCGTTAAGACGTCAACCACAAACTGGACCGCGTAAATATAAAAGAAGACGTAAGTTGAAACCCCATGAAACTAGCACAATGTTGCGTATGACTGAACAGTATGATATGTTGGAAGGAGGTTCTGATTCAGATGACAATACAAAAAGAAAACTTGGAAGAAAAAATAAGCAACATCGATCAAATGTTGAAGAAGGTTATCAAAATGTTCTTAAAAGCTTTGAGAGTTCTTTACAAAATATAAATTCAATTGTCAGTAATTCAAAATTAAACCCAGGAAAATCCAAACTTTCTAAGAAAAAGCTTAAAAAAGAAGAAAAAAGGTCTGAAGGTCAAACTTCGTGTCAGCCTGGTAGGCCAAAAATGATTCATACCCAAAAAACAAGAGTGCCTGTAGAAATTGGTAGTGATGGAGTTAAAAAGGGACAAAAAACTAAAACAATGGTAACAAGGACTCCTAAAATGATGCCACAAGAGCATAAGTTAGGTATTTTTCCGGGTGGGGAAAGGAACAGGCCAAGAACAAAGAATGTTAGTTATCATATCGAAGGGAAACTTCAACCAACATCTGCAACATTCCCAAAACCAAAGGAAGAGATTCCAACACCTCCAATACCAGCACGTCATCAATCACCATTGGCTAGTATAAAAATAGAACCAAACTTACAAAAAACGTCGAATAACAATCACAGAAATAACAATGGTAATATTCTTGCAATTAATAATGAAAAAATGGAATCGACGCCTAGAAAAAAATCAGGTGTTTTAAGAAGAATTAAAAAACAGAAAGAAGAAATTAAACAAGAGCCAATGGATATAGACCACGAGGAAATACAAAACAATAATAACACAGAAAATACAGATTCGGAAAGATTAATGGATCATACAATAGATGGAAGTAATCTGGAAGTTGCATTTGAAGCGAGTGTTACGACTGAGGAAGAACATTTGCTTCCTGATGTAGGTGGAGTAAATATTTCTGAAGAAGTGGCTACTGGAAATGTAAAACTTAGTGTAAAAGTTGAATCGACGCCTCAACGGATGTTGGCTGTTCATAGCGTTATAGCACCTGTGGATGATATTCCAGAAACTATAATACCAGATGCTGTAGAATATACATGCGAAATGTGTTCCGCAGTATTTTCCAGCCGAGCAGAATTATTGGTCCATGTTCCAATACACATTTGATTTAATTTGTTCAATGAAATTAAAGGAGGTACGCAAATTTGTTCTATTTTAAGAATATTTGTTTAATTAAGCAATATTTTAACATGGTCAATGAAAGTTTATCTGTTTATTTGAATTGGCATTATGTTATTATGCCAAAATGTCCTCTACTCGTTGCTCTATGAAGTGTACCAGATTCTTATGTTTAACATATATTTTAAAAGTTGATGCTGTCTTTAGTTTATTACGTCATTCTAAAGTATATAGAAATTTTCAAACATACTCGTTTTTGATTAACATTATTATTATATCCTTTTTATACTATTCGTGTTTCTCTTAAATTGAAAAAGATACTGTTTGGCTCTAAATTCATATTGGATTATGATATGATGAATAATGTTACAAATATTTTATACATTTACAATTTATGAAGCCAGTTATGCTGGTCAAAGAATTGAAATCTTAGACCATTCTTTTGCCATCCACAATTTTATAATAAAATTTAATGAAAAATGAAATAATGGTACGTTGTGTACATAAAATACTAAGGTATTCTAAATATTAATGTGAGTGTGTTTTATAATATTACTCGTTTATATAAATTAAATTTACTCTGTACGTTTGCTTTTAGCTCCTAAGTAATTTGATACATGACAGCCAATCCATTGAAGTATTAAGATAAACAATTTGTATGCAATATTATCATCTGATTCCACATTATTTTTCATAAATTTTTACTCATAGTAATATTTTGAAATCTACATAGTATAATTGGAAAGTTAGGTATTAATAATTTGATTTACATTTGAGAAAAGAAGATTGACTTTTTAAATTTCTCATTAATTAAATAACTGTACATTGTAGCAATACATATACATTGCACAGATTGCATAAAAACATTTATACAAATTAAGTTTCATATTTTGGAGCATCTTATGATTCAAGAAACGCGAATGCATTGTTACTGTTTCAATAGTATTGATAATATAATAAAATTGATTATTATTATGGTATACTTTGATTATACTAACATATTTAAATGGTTTTAATGAAATTATAAAACCATTTTATTACATTTGGCATTATATTTGATTGTATGAAACATGTGTAGAATTTTATGAAGAAGGAAACATTAAAACTTAAGTGGTACAAACTTTGAAATTATTTTAATTTAAGCACTGATAAATTATAAACAATTAGATGTGATTTTTAACTTTGAAAAAAGAGTAAGGTTCTTTACAGTGCATCTACCATCTTATTTGTTTATTTGTGTTACGTGTTAAAAACACATATTTCATTGCATGTAATATATCCATCAATTGTATATCACTTATTACTGATGGGTGCTATTATAGTATTACATCAAATAGTACCATAGAGAAAAGAACCGAATTATATTTTACTTTGATTAATATAAATCCATGTATTATCATAGGCTCATAAAAGTTTAATGTTACAGAGTAAGAGTTTGAGTATTGGAGATAGTGTACATACTTTCATACAAATATTTTAGGTGTATTGACAACTAGCTTTTGCATCTTTGTTTCATATAAATAAATAATTATATACAGATACTAAAGTTTTCTTCTAATTACTATTAAAATATTTGATAATTTTATTTATTTTCAGAAAAAATAATTGAATTAAACTTTTAACTTATACTTGTCTCTTCATTTAAATATTTCAGAAATAATATATATTAATAAGAAACATATTTCATCTTAAAAAATGATATTAAATTAAATTTGAAATTATTTTATATAAGACATTATGGTTTCCTAAATTATATGTTAAAATTATGCAAGTCTTTTTATAGCTTTGCTAATGTTTTATATTTTACTTATTAATATTTAATACTGTGTTAAATGAGAGTAAAAGAATTAATTAATGTTTCAGATTATTTAAAATTTGCAAGGTCATATAATTGAACATTATTAATTTTAAAATTTATTTACAATATATGTATATTTTCTTGTATGAAGTAATAGGTACAGTTTTATTATATTTAATGCAAAATATTGTAGTTCCTTTGTAGTGTCTCTCTTAACTTCGGGGTAATAAATGAGTGCGCGCGCGCGTGTACATATAAACACATGTGTGTATATATGTGTATGTATGTATGAATGAATGTATGAATGATTGAATCTATGTATGCATACGTATATGGATGTTGAATTCCAAAGGTAAATTAGTTGTATTTCAATGGCATTATATGAGGCAATCAATCAAAAACTGTGTGCTCTATTTTTATAACCAAGAGATATTTTGAATATAATCGAGAATGTAATGAAAATTCTGATACTATTTGTAATATTTTGCAAAACATGTGTATGTGTATATGTGTCTGTGCGTGTGTGTGTGTATTTGTATGTATACATATGCGCACACGCATATATATGTATATTGTATATATTATTATTTAGTATATTTATCTATGTCTCTAGAAATGGCGCACAATGCCTATTATTCATTTGTTTCTATAATTATTTTATAAATAAATTTATTTGAAAAAATTCAGTAAGTAAGTTAATAAAAAGATTGTTGACTTAGTATAAAAAAAAATATTTTCAAAGAAGCATTACTAAGAATGTATTGAAGAAATAGAGAATGCGTTTAATAATTAGATTCATAGGACAGCATCATATTTTGTATGTATGTACATTCTTGAACAGTAATTAATTTCTTTAATAATATATGTAATTATATTACCGCTACAGTGTTAAAGAAACATTTAAAATCAGTTTCAAAACATTTGTCTTGTTAGACTATAAATCAGGATTTGTATAGTCTCAAAATTATGATATAAGATATTTAGGAACTTGAAAATTCATATCTGACCAATGTAAAGTTACAACTTTCGAATAAGGAATATGTAAATATATATTTACATAAGGAACATCAGAAACTGTGACAAAAGTTGATGTATTATATATGAATAATTTTTATTTCAATATTACACGCAATTACATTCCCGTTTAACGGTAGCTTTAATATTATTTAAGCGTAATTCAAAAAGTTCAAAAATTTATTTAGTTAACGCGTGCATAGAGCAGCTAGTGCAGGTGGCAATGATTGCAAAATAAATTGTAAATTAGACGAAATTTAGGAGCAGAATGTTTAAAAAGAGATACAGATAAGACATGTACACAATTTTTTCGTTTTTTTACCTACAAGATTGATTGCATGTAAGTATCCGTGGCTTATTTCTAATGATAATTATACTAAAATAATTAGTGTAGCATATAATACTGTGTTGCATGATAAGGTTTTAAATAGTTGCTAAAAAATTCTTATATGTATTACTTCAATTGTAAACTAAGTAAACTCAAAATATGTATAGATTTATAAGCTATTAATTAGCATTTCCTCGATAGGATTATTTATATCTGTCAGGGATAAAGTAGTTAAAGAAGAAAAGTGTACATACTATTATCTTGGATATGGTATGGTGGTTTATTGTTAGTCGTAGATATATATATATTTTTTTTTTAATAAACCACGTTAATAATTATAAAGATACAATTAATTACGTCCGCACAAAGTTACGGATAATTCGAAATACATATAGTAATGATGTGTGTATAATTGTAAATATGTATTCATTTGTATACTTTAAAAATTGTGTCATTTCTATCTCATGACAAAGTTTGAAAAAGAGTACAGATTATAATTATATATATTATATAATCAATTTGTTGAATTATACTACACAAGTACTTGATTCTTTTGTTTTTATCTCAAATGAAAATTTATGCGGTTAAACAAAAGATGTAAATGAATGGTAGTTATACATAATTCTATGTTATATTAAATAAAGTTTCAAAACTTTATATTATGAAAATCATAATGGTAGTATAATAACAATGTTTTCACCATTCATAAAATATGTATAATATTATCTATGTTTATGCTAAGAGCAAGTAAATAATTTAAGATAATGTATCTTTGATTAGGGAATAAAATCACAAATATTATAAATTTCTTTCTCAAATCCCATACATATAACAGAGACTATAATTAGAAATGTTCCAATGATACTGGTTGATGTAGGTTGATCTCCAAAAAAGTATATTTGTATAATATAAGCCAAAATAATATCTAAAGATCTAGTCACTGATACTTTCCCAGCACCTTCTATCTTTAGTGCATTAGTCACTAAAATCTGACCTGATAATCCAGTTAGTGCTATTAATAATATTTTACTCCAGGTAATCCAATCATGTGGCAACTTTGATTTTTGTTCGTGATTATCTGATACAAGGAAGAAGAAAAATATTGCTGTGACAAGTGACCACCAAGATAGGTTGAAGATTATTGTTGAAAAATGGATTTCTGAACATTTTCTCATAATAACTATGTTAAGAGCCGTAAAGAGAGTTGCTAATATAGCACACACATATCCCATCACATTGTATGATTCAGCTTTATGCATCTAAAAAACAAGTATTTTATACCAAATTGTCAATTTATAGAAATTGTATAAATGAATTCTCTTTTTACCTGAAATAGAAATGGTGGTTTAGATACGAAAACAACACCTGTAAAAAGTGCACACATAACTATAATGCGTAATATTCCACAAGGTTCTTTTAATAAAATGAAAGACAATGCAATAACAATCACTGGAGAACTAAATATGATTGTTGTAGCATCTCCTATAGGTAATTTGCGAAAACTGTAATATAGTAATGATAAGGTTGCACCACCTACTATTCCCTAGGGAAAGAATACTTTATTAAATTATTTTTACTTATTACTATGTGGAACATAATTATATTAATTTTATAGTTAACATACTTGCAAATATAAGAGCATTCTTTGCCCTTTGGGTCCAAAAAGACTTTTGGAAGCTTTAAGTGCTACTGCAGCCATAACTAACATTTGTAGAACAGATCTGATAGCCAACAATACCATAGGATGTACATTTTGTACTGCTTTAACTAATGCTGAACTTATTGTAAAAAATGTACCTGATAAAAATGCCAAAAATACTCCAAACCATTTGGTACCATCTTGATACGTTTCAGAATTATTGGCAAATTGTTCCGTGTAATGGTATGCTGGATGTATACTGTTATAAGAAGCAGTAGATTCAATGCTGAACTTCATTGTTTGGCTACCTTAACAGCCACGATAGATGATTATAAAGAATAAGACATTTACAGTATACTGCTGTCTACCACTAGTACATCTACTGTCTGATAGAATTAACATACAGCTTTGCACGTTAAACAGCTTATTATGGATTAATACTGGTAGGAAGATTTGGAAAATGTAACGATCAGATTAAAACTCATTTGAATGTAAAATAGTGAAAAATGTTAATTATAAAATTAAATTTGTTACAAAAATATTATGATTCACTTTAACTTTGTTTAACAGGTTTTTGATTTTGAAATTAATGCATTCATTAATATAATTGGATCAAGTATACTTTCATAATTATATAACTTAATATAAATAAACAGAATCTACATTTTTTGTTATATGAATTATATATTGAATGTGTTATATTTATTCAGTTTGAAAATATATAGCTGCAGTTTAGTTTCATTTCAGTAATAATCTTTATCATATTAAAGAAAAAATTTAAAGAATATATTGTTTCTTTTAACTATTTGGATTAAACTAATATTTATAGTCTAATTACAATAAATTTTATATAATTTTATTTTATCAAGAAAAAAAATATGTTTATAAAATGATTATAATATTATAATCATTTATATGTTGCTTTTATTTGAATAGTATAAAATGTATATACAATTATATAACAAATTTTAGTCTTTCCCAAACTGTACTCCAGTTAGTGGTTTATCTACACGGTAAAGTGTAGTGCCTAAGTTGAAATATCCCAGATATTCTATAGTTTCTGGAGTTGTATCAATATGATAATGACCACCTTCTCCATGATGAGAAAAGCTGTGAAAATGTTGAACCCGAAGATCTAGATCCTAAAATTACAAATTAAATGCAATACATTGTGAAATGACACATGTAATAATGTGATAGAACAAAAGATATTTCAACTCATTTATTACAAATATTGAAGTATAGTCTTAATAGTAGTATAAATTCAGTTATAGATGCAACTGTAAAATATATCATTTCATATAGTTTTACTTACACTTTCAGAACTGACAAATGTACCAACAGCTATTAGAGGTGTTGACATGTTATAAAAGTGTAACCACTTATTAAGTTGTGCTTCAGTATTTAATGGTGTTACTGAAAAGTCTGGCATAACATGCTGTTTAACTTTCCCATCTTTTATCAGAAATGTTCCTCCTAATCCTACAATCAAAAAAGTTTAATATAAATACTTGAATGTATCTCTTAAGTAAATTTATATTTACTTATAAAAACTTAATTCAACATTCTCCTTACCAACAAGATTATTTTGATAATGCTGTGCAATTGCTTTCTGCATAGATGCAATAAAATCATTATTTCCAGTACGCTTTTTAACATGCACTTTTAAGACTTTGCCAGGTTTTCCTTCAGTAACAAATAAATTAGCTAATAAAGCAAATCTTGTTTCACTGTTAGGTAAATTTTGAAGTACACATTTTCCATTTGCTTTACTGACAGATGAAATACGAGTTCCATTTTGTACATTAGGTGAGAAAGTCATGTTCATTATAAGCTAGAAAAAAATTTACCTAGTAAACATTCAAACTAAATATTTAGATTTGTAATTAGTAGTTTAATTTATTTATTATACTTCACAATTGGAATTTATGTATGGCCATGGGCCAGCTCCAGCTCCAATAACAAAGGAGTCTGTCTTATACTGTAAGTGATTTAAAAGTTGTTGGACATCATATAATTTGTTTTTTTGTACAGTAGGAAGAAGATATGATGGACCACCAATTTCTAATAATGTTGGATTACCACATAATCCTAAATATTAAATTGGATATATTAATATTAAAACAATATAAAAAATATCTTGTACATAAAACATTATTTACCTGGGGCAGCAAGTGTGAAAGGTTCTTGTGTTAAATCTGGACAATCAACAACTTCAACTTCAACATCCAGAAAATTTTTAACCAATCCTTCTTTTAATACTGTTATGAAATATACATTATGTTATTAAATTTGTTTTGAAACCATAAATTGTATTTTAGTGAATAAAAATTACCATCTTTTATTTCATCAAGTGAAGGAACATATAGATTTTTTTTTACTATGGTAAGTTGATTGATATCCAAAGTAGTCATAATTGTTAACTAAAAATTCATTTTTAAACTATAGATATAATTTGTAATAATTCATAAATATGGATTAAATTACCTTTAAATAAGAATTGTATTATTCAGAAGAAGTAAAAGAATTGATAGAATCTTAAATGTACTTCGCCAGGAGTAGCTTGTTTTATCTAATCATGTACTGGCGTATGACCTTATTTCGTAAGAATGAAATAAGTCAATTACATATGTATATACATACTCTCTTTTATGCTGATATTATTCATAATCGTATCGAATATATTTTACTGTATATTTCTTGATATATAAAAATACCCACGAAAGATCAATTTGACATTATTATGCAAACTAAAGCATTAGTTTTTAAATTTCTATTAGAATAAAAATTTGTATATATTTTATCGAATTACAGTATTAATGAATGAAAATGAAATAAATGATACAAATATACGAATTATACATCGATAGTAACGTAATAGAAATAATCGATTTACGAACTATTTCTCATAGTATATTTTCCAAATTTCTTAAGCAATTTTATAATTAAATTGCGCATCAAATCTTTAAAAATGTTGAAAAATAAATAAAATTAATATTTAATATCTAATATGAAATAAAAATGTACTTAATATGTTATAATATGTTATCAATACATTAATAATTAAAGTTAATAAAAAAAGTGAGTTATAAATAATAAGAATTAAAAAGTTTAATTTTCAATTTTGAAGTCTTGTATTTTTATGGAATATTTCAATAAGTATGAATAAGATAAATACATTTTACGAAAAGGAAATTTCAAGTGTAAAGTAGATAAGATATAATTTTCAACTGACGTCAAAAACTTTTTTGCTAGAAATTACTTATAGTTCTCTTCAGAGATGGCAACACAATGCAGTATTACGTATCAAGTAATTAAATTATTCGCGCTTGACAATGAGATCTAATAAACGTAAATTCATAATTATAATAATGTTTTTAATTATATTTCGTATCAAGAATTACGAAGTTTTATTGTAAATAAATGTTGTACTTTATACATCGTAGATTTCATTGTTAACCATAAAAAAAGTGATATACGACTTCAAATGTATTTTAAAAATTTCTTTTACATGATGTTTTGAATGATGTTACATTAAATGAATAGATGTTTAATAATAATAATAAAATTCGCAGTTTAAAAATCAAAAATATTTTCTATTTTTCTTACTAAGCAATTGAGTTGATAAGATAATTTATAATTTAACTTATTTAATGGAATGACCTGATGTGGAATATCGTAGAAGAGGGTTGAAATATGTTGGAACTCGATAGGGTTGTCGTGGATGCGCATTGGACGCTGAAGGAGGCTATCGTGTATCAGCCGACGTTCCTGGAGCGCATCGTCAGTATGCGGTCGCGCATTCTATGCGGAAACACCTGTTTGTTCTTTCGGCTCTTTTATTGCTTTTTAATCGTAAATCTTGTCAAATATCGTGTGTATTAACTCTTCCTAACATATAAAGTAGGAAAAAGAAATTTTCACTATAATCGTCATATATTTAAAAAACGATACAAGAAGGTAAAAATGACGGGAATATAAAGAATATTTGTATTTAAAATTGTTAAGTTGAAAACGAAGTAAAAACAAGAAAGAACAACAAAAAATTTCTTATGAAACTTTTGCAAACACTATTGGATCGTAAGGAAGAAGGTTAGAAAACTAATAGAATAGTCCCGAAATTATTGATTGAGATCAAAGAAGAAAAAGAATTGCTAAACAGATATTGGTGTATCCGCGTGATAAACAGAACACAAGGGCAAAGTATCGTTGAGTGGGAAAAGGAAACGAAAAGCCGAAAGAGCGAAGGAGACGAAGACTTTTAACCGCGAGAGGAACGTCCTCGTGACTTCAACCACGTGTCTCTCGTGGTCCTCGTTTAAACACGCGTAAGAGCAATTTTCTCTATTGACGTACGCCGGTTGTTCGTTGTTGCTCGTACTGATAGACATTCTTGTCTCTTTACTACGAATCTATTCGCGGATAGGAATCGGCATGTGATCTTTTCGAAATTAATTGTTTATTTAATCCTTTCTCGCATGTATTTCCCGTTGACGTTAATGTAATACATATATTGCATTACATTATATTACTTACATTTCTTCCTCTTTCCCCTTAGCATGCAACTAAATGTAAACCTTGTAATATTCCAATTGGACTTGAAAACTTTGCATGTTATCGATCAGAGTGTTAATTGCTCATGTCTGTGACATGTTTCCTCCCATTTCCTTCTATTTGCTCAAACTTCTTTCGGCTTTCAAGTCTCATAAAACTACTGCGATTATACTATTTTGCTAGTTCGTTGCAGTACAAAATGGAGATAGATTTTTATCTACGCGATTCGAGTTGATTCGATTTATTTTATTAATCTCGTTTTTCCTTTTTTAGTCTGTGATATGCGAAAAACCGAGAGTGACGATTATTGTTTTTTTTTTCTTTTTCGTATCACAATTATTATAGTTTCATGATTGAATTGCTTAGGTACCGTCGAATCGAATTGCAAGAATTCCGGCCTTTTTCCGGGAACAGCTTAAGTATCAATTAAATCGATTATATCGAATTTAATTTGCTTCTTTCAGTACTGCATAAAGCTTGGAAAAATGTGACTTAATTTTTTTCCCCGTAAGTCTATCGACTTTTCCTTAGTATCAAAATTCGTTTATCAAAAAAGACTAAAAGAGGAAGAAGAAGAATAGGGGCGAGAGGAAAAAGAAGAAGAAGAGGAAGAAGAAAGGAGAACGATGGTATTTTCTATCAATGGTACACAAATTCACGGGAATGCGTAATGACGGCCATTAATCGGTTGTACTTCGAATGGGTAAACGCGAAGAAGAATCGTTTGAATCCGGAATGAAAAAGATGGTGGTCCGATAGCATTTAGTCGTGCTCGCAAGACAGCGAAGCGCAACGTATGTATATACGTAAGATTGCAGCTCGTAGATTATTTGTAGTCGTTGCCATTGAGATGGTTTGATGGTAGCCCCTTCCCCGCGTACCTTTATATCGAGACTGAATGGACAGAGAGAGCAGCCTCCTCTATGAGATAATACGCCTGGTTGTACCTAAGTCATTCAGGCCCGAAGTCCCCGAATCCATCGAATCGCGAGAGATCGCGCGAGGTGAGGGTGGACACCGTGGCCCCTGCAGTCATGCTCACCATACAAAACGAGTGAGTATATCGGTTTGCATGCGATTAAGTAGCTACACGATAGTTCGGCTGCATCGACGCACCCGTGAATACCTGCCACTGCTGCGCTTTCACATCCTCTAGCTTTTCAGAAATCACCGTCATGCCGATGCTTCCTGCTTCGAGCTTTTGATCATGATTTCAGGGGTTCGATTCGTGACTTTTCAGCAGTTACCAAGCTTATACAGGCGAAGATTAAGCAAATATTCCCCGGCTAGATCGGGCAAAGCTGGCCTTCCTCGAACACTTCTTGCCAAACGGTTTCGTAATTCTTGGCTCTCCTTTTATTTTTCCACACGTCATGTCTCTTTATTCGTCTTTGTTCGTTAAACGAATCGTTTTTCAACCGTTTAAAACTTCTTGGACACCACGTATGTATCTTATACCGAACGGTATGCGCTCTAAGAAAATTCCACTTGCCAATTTCGATTCTTTTTCCCTCGACATCGTTCTACCAAAGGATAAAGCGTCGTCTAGCTCAATGCATTCATCTACTCTTTAAATTTCCTTTCAACGACGGAAGAATCGTAGTCTTTTACCTTCTTTGTTGGTGGGATCATTGTCTCATAGCGATTATGCGGTTTACACGATAGGACTTATAAACGAAATTCTTTACAAACGAGTACGTGGTAACCGTTGGAAGTAACCGATTCCCCGTGACTTCGTGATTATAAGATCCTCGATAGCGTAGTTCCTCTAATAAGATCGGAATATCGAGCGACGATATTTTAATGTGACCACTTACCGATCATCTTACTTTTTACAGATTTTTGTTCCCAGATATATACCCGTTTTCTAATCGCTGTTAATCGACAAATATCACATGAACGTTTTATAGTTTCAACAAGACGTAAATCGTTTTACGAGCTTTTGCTTATAGGGGAAAAATCCGTGATACGATGCACGCAATTACGAAGGTGCGGTTCCGGGTAGATGCTGTGACGTGGTTCCACGGATCGACGTGGATTCCCTTTGCATCGTGTGTAGTAACATGGCAATAAACCACTACAGTAGCGGTGCATAATCTAATGGCGGGTTGCCTCCTGCGACAAGTATGGGACAGTAGAGGGACGGCTTGCACCGTGCCTCCCTGCGGTTCATTAATTGCAGCTTGCTCTCTCGACTAGTATCCCGTTATTCCGATCGTCCAAGCGACAACAACAACCAGGGGTTGAGAAGGGAAAAACCTCGTCACACGTGTCTACAACATGCCTGCATTCTCGAAGGAAAGCATAGAAAGCTATGAGTTTTCTTTGTCACTCTTTTACTCTTCCAGTTTCTTCCTCGATGAGGATATTGATCGATCATCGTGCCTGATAATTCACACCTGGATCGAGTTCTCTGCACTCTGATTCTGCATCGTGCTCCATCCATACGCGAGGATTTTTACCTTAGGATTCGTACCAATTTACGAAACATTCCAACGATTTCGCTGCTTTCCCTTTCGAAGTTTACGACAGATACGATCTCCGATGAAAGCAATTCGCGAGATTGCTTTACACATACTCCCCCTAAGCTTTACGCCTTCGTTTCTCTATACAACGTGCAATTTGACATTTTTTCTCCAAATAACGAACTATTTATTTCTCGTCGACCATACGAGTGAATTTGACTTTTGCTAAACTATTTTAACCACGTGACTCACTAAGTATATCTCGTAATATCTTGGTATTCATCGGAATTATCGTATAATGTACGTAGATCCTGTTCCTGGAATGTATTTTATTAAGAACTCGCCGAGATACTCGATAACAGTTCACCTGCAATTATTCACGTCGACGTGGCTGCTGTTAAACCAGAGACAGACCTTCGTGAAAGAGACAATTAAACGTTCTTGCATTCTTTTCTACGATCCGTTTAACCCAGATTATCCTTATCGTCGTTTCCGGGAATGAGAGAATTAGTTTCGTGGCGCGCAAAGTTTAGAGAAAGGGAAGGGTCTTGATCTTAAACTTGCTCGACTGTCGTGACATTATTACCTCGTATTTAGAGAACAACGGACAATGCACGTCACCGACGATCATTTCGTTCGGCTGCGGTTTACGGAAGTCAGCTGCGAGCAACGTCTCCCTGTTGCTCTGCCATCGTGCGTTCTTCGAAAGCTAAACACAGCCACCATATTTTCCGATTGTGCCAATTAATCGGACATAAAGATTCACCTGGATTGGAAAGGCAAACTGGAGACACTGTAATATCCATTCCGCACTCGATTATCATTGGCATTGGCTACTCGACAACGTGTTTCGCAGCAGGAGAGATAAAAGGAGAACGTGACGATTGCGAGCTTTTCGTTGGAGATGGAAACGAGAGGAATGTGCTTACTAATTTGTGTCTGAAGGTATACTCGTGACAATCAACCACTATTCAACCGTTGGCTGCCGTTCGTTCGATCCTCTCCTTAGGCGTTTGATTTTCCTTCACAACGTGTAAAGGAAAAACACGTGTATCAAAGGAATCGCTCGTGCAGACCGATGTCAAAGGCTTTTCTTTCTTCTCGAGGTCTTGTTCGTTCGTTACTCGTTTGCTCGATTATTTAATTTCCCTGGCGAATCGAGAGGACACAGCGGATATATCCGTGGATCATTGGAAAGTCACGAATACAAATATACCCGTGGCGTTGGAACGCCGAGGTGCATACACCTCCACGCACGCTTGAAATAATTTAGAAAGGTAAACGGATGAAATGTCATGCAGGTTGAAACGTCGATATCTGATAATCGAGCATCCAAAAGGCTCGTACGAGTAAGGTGACATTTTGTTGGCCATTAAATTCATAGTCCCGCATCGAATGATGCACAGGCGTAAGAGTTGCCCATAAAGTTGCACGCGTATGCCGATGTGGAACTACTCGTGATCTACTCTCACAGGTTAAATGTATATCTAACTTTCAATCGGTTAAAGAATGACTCTTGTATGCTGTGCAGTTGAGCGTAAATAGTCTCCTTTTAATGTAGTTAAGTGTAAAATAGCTCGCATAGTTTAATTACAATGCTTGCCCCGCTTGTGGCGCGTACACGCGCGTTCACCTACACAGCCTCTGCTCCGTCCTCGCAAACGGTTTCAATGCGTATGCACGTTCTGCACCTGCAACCAACAACTTGTAAGCCTGCGATCACCGATGTTCATTCGACGAAAATTCGAATATTTTTTATCGATCGTTCCATTATCGTGTGCGACATTGAAACGTATCACGATATTTTTATAAACGAGCACACCAACGCAAGCATCCTCGTCGTTCGTGTTCATGGCTGTCGTAGTTAGTGTCGTAATTGTCATTATCGCGCTCAAAGCAAATGCATCACTTTCGGTTAGGTATTCAGGGAAACGGTTCAATTATTTTAGCATGTCACCGCGTAATGGCTCGTGCGTGGCGGAAGTAAGCTCGGTGAGGAGCCTCTCGTCCGATGATGTCTCGGCAACGAAGGCGAATCGAAAGAAGTCCTGCTGGGCACGTGCCACGGATCCGGCTCATCGTCGTGGACGTCGAATTCAGCTGCTGCAAATGCTGGTGCTACCATTCATACCGATCCTAGCATTGATCGTCCAGACTGCTAACACCCTTCACGACATCCTCATCTATCGGCAGGAGGTCTCTGACATTGAAACGCAGGTAATCCAAGGGTTAAATGTTTCTTGAATCAGATATACGTATGTGTATTTGAAGCTAGATTAGTCTCCTAGACTCTCGCAAGTTTTGCAAGTTTCGTTTTCAGCTTGTCTTCATCGATTCGAATCCGAAGCGAGTTAATCTTACGATCGGGCAAATCTGTGCATCGGGAAGTGCCATTTACTCGGACTATTGGTAATTTCGCGAGAATTAATCTACGAATTTTCTAAATGTAACGAAGGAACGAGTAAACTCGTACCACACCTACGCGTTCGTCCTTTTTGTCATAGTCGGTGTAATTCCCATCTTACCGTCCATTTCTTCGATTGTTCTAGCGCAAAGAGTATAGATCGTGATAATGAATCAGTTTGCCAGACCCCTGTGCATGATTTACAATGACTCTCGATTCCTTTATGGCAGAGTAATTTCTCGAAAATGAATTACTGCTTGTTAAACCGGGTAGATAAATCTCGAGTTACTGCCTGTTGCTCGTCCATGGCTGACTGGTAACTGTTATTTACGCATTGAAATTTCTCGATGGGATGCGTTTATCGGAAAAAAGGCCGGATGAATTTTTCGATTTGGTTCACGGAATTATCCGTATTAAAAGCTTCGGATTTGCAACGCTTGTGTTTGCACAAAAACACGATGAAATTTAATAAAATTGTATTGTTTTCCTCTGGCAATTTATTCGCAACGTCGCAACGATTATCGACAAATTCGAATCGGTAGAAACCCTTTTATGGTCGACCTCGATTCTTCATTTTCCAGTTCAATACCTTCTTTAATGCATAGTCGCTTTCCTTAATACCGAACATGCTAAATTTTAATGAGATCCAGCTCGATAAAATATGATAACATTCGTTTCTTAACATTGATACTTGCTCGATAGCGGCTTTTATAATTAAAATCGTGTCAAATCGATTATTTAAAAGTGCTCGCATTCGATACTTGACTTTCTGATAAACTTGTTTTTCGAATCGACGCGACGCTTTCTCTCGGCACAAAAACAAGAGTAAAGCTGTGGAATTCGGTACAAAACACGCTTTTCGAGGAGAATTAAAATACGTTCACGAGCCATTTACTGCTATTTCTCTTCTTCTTTTTTTCACCTGCAATTGGTATTGGTTTCCTTCGTGAAAAAAATGATTTCTTTTTACGCGGATTACACCGTTTCGATTCGTTGCTAATATCGATTTATCGATTTATCGATTACGTACCATCAGGGATGATATTTTCTATTGCGATGTAAATAACTAGCAATAACCAATTCTATCATAACACAATGCATTGGTCATCAACAAAGGTACATGGGTATTGTTTCATGGTGCATCGAGTTCTTCACAATGGTTCTTCATACAGAATCGTATTGTTACCAGCTAGCGATCGATCCTCCAAAATAGATGGAATTCTAGCTAACGACAGGGGAAGTGCGACAACAAGTTTTCGATGATTCTATTACAACTCCAAAAGCACACTCGCGACGAGCATTGTCGAATCGTTCTCGAATTGCACTATACCATTGGAACGTAGAGTAACAGGTTTCTTCTTTTTCGAGTCTCGATCCCCATTCTTGTCGAACCTTACTAATTTGTCAACGGAGGGCTGATCACCGAGCAAACGATCAGCAATGGTTGACTAAAGAAGATTAACATCCCTTAATTTTCACCCTTAGCCGTTGTCGACAAAATTTCCATACTAGAATGAAGTAGTCTCGTTTCGTTCGAGGATGGTCATTACGGTAGCGTATCCCTGGAAGGGTTGAGGAAGTGGAGGAGTGGTAGATCCGATCGAAATTCATCGAAACGGGGTGTAACCTGGAGTGCACCGTTCGATCTCGAGTTACTTGTTTGACGAGTACGGTGGCGTGGCACGAGGAAAGGCGGAAAAGAATGGACGCATTCTCCTCTTTGCTTGTCCTCGTCCCTATCTTCATCGTTCCCGGTGTTTGCCGTCGTCCTGCTAAGCGTGTCGAGAGTTTTATACCCGTTGCTGCTCTGCCACGCCCTCCATAATTAAAATCTATAGGAAAACCGAAGAACGAACTTAATTTGCCTTTTAAAGGCATCGCCTTTTTCTCCTATTTTGTTGATCAAAATTAAATTGTTCGCGATACCCGCCACTGAGTGATTACATCGATTGCTTCGGCATTTGCGATATATTAAATTTCTTCGTAGGAAAAGGATGCTTTTATTCACCAGCCTCGTACACTTTGGAAGCTCTAGCGAGAGAAATTTCTCGAGTTTCTAAAAATTATACTCGTTTTCGTGCATGGATCGAAGCTACCCTGACGTAGATCCGTATTCGTTGGGCGACACGTTCGCGATTAATTCTGGCATAGTGGCTACAGCATTAACAGAACAGGAATGCAAACCTGATATTATCTCGTTCGATGTTTCACATTCTTCATGGGTGAATATGTCAAAGCTGTGCATTATTGAAAATCCTCGAATGAGCCCGAAAACGACAAAGATTAAATCAATTTGAACGTTGACAAAACAAACGTTTCAACAAAATTTCAACGTTGTTTTGTTTCGCAAGATCCTAAAAAGCTGACTCGATGTTTCGGAATTATTTTCTGTAATGGCTGTCCGAGTCTCGATTTATAATTGGTGAAACGGTGCATGGGGTTGAAACGTAGAAGCATGGCAAGTATAACGGAAGGCCATTTAGGTACTTAGAAGTTCGAGTGACCACACGATGTGTGTCTAGGATGTATTCACCCTCCCTATACCGTTCACTTTGTCCTTTCGTCCCTTACGATTAGTTCCATCTCCTTTCGGAAGTTTCACGAACTCGGGAACAACACTGGCTATTAACTGGCAAAGCTTCGGTCCGTGCATTTTACGATACTCTAATCGTCCGACTGGAACAGTTTCCAAGAGAATATCCGTCTTAAAGTTATCGTTGCGTTTTATTTTCCTCGAATTATTTTGATTTTCATCCCCCTTCATTGCGAATATCGATCGAGTATGGTTATGAACTTCTTACAGGTAACAATCGCCACAGACTTGGGGAAGGTTGTCACGCGGATGCAGCTGGAAAGATCCGAGGTTGCATTCTTTATTTACACCAACGGCAACACTCTAAGGTATCAGCATGCAGTGTGTTGTTTAGTTTTCTCAGACCTTTCGTGTACGGGAAGGTTAGAGAAGCACGATCTAAAGCTGTGTTGCACGCCGTTGTTCATTCATACGAAATGCATAAGATGCCATGGAGTTCGTTTCACTGTTTTGCCAGGGGCCTTTAAAATTGCTTGATCTCTCGGTATACGTGACTCTATAACAAAAGCCATTCTTCCAAAGGGAAGGAACCCTTTAACGTACAGAGCAATGAAAACAAATGGGACAACGGGGTATTCTCTAATCAAGACACCACCGGCGCAATACACTTTTCCTAGCATTTCGAGAAAGCAATCGCGTCACGGAATGCGAGAACAGCCTGCGATCCTTATAACTTACGATTTAAATAAAGATTCGTTCCAGGCGAATTATAGAGTGCGGAAAAATCGCGTGCGATTAATCTCAGCGGCTTCCTAAAATCTGAAATTGTCTGCGAATTGTAATTATTGGCACTCGCAAAATTCAAGGTTCGAGGTAGCGATTAGAGTCGCATGATCGGTGAAACGTAGCATATTGGCCTGACCCTTCCGCTTCGACTGTTCTATAGAACCGAGGGAAACTCTGTGAAATATTAACGAAATTTCGCTGGTAAAAATAATTCTGGATCCTTCGGAAACGTCTCGTCTTTGTGAATGCAACGTCGACTAAAACGAATGAATAAGCCAACCTCTCCGCCAATTTATCGACGCACCACTAATACGCCATGGTCTCTTGCACCTGTTCAAGGTCGAACTTGACGCAGAGGTTCGCCATAACCGATCAGGCTCTTCATAACATGACTACGTGGCCCCTGGTCTCGGTACCGAGGGACGAGAGCAAGACGCAAACCTATGACGTGGTCAGCAAAGAGGCCTTCCAAGCACGCCTCGAGGATTTCAGGTAACGAATCGATTAGCAAATACTCGACGGCTCTCTTCACTCCAGACAGAATCCACGTGTATTACACGCTAATGACGTCAGAGGATCCCTTATGTGCCTGACAGCTTTACCTTAATTACCATAACTTTCTTGACGCAACCGATTAAACGGTTGTGATTTCCTTCGTCCTCGGCCTTGCGCTCCTTTTGTCAGCGATTGATAAATTAAACGGACTAAATTCCGGAGAATTTGAAGTAGAAACTCCACGTTGATCATTTACGACGCGCCAAAGGAAGGACGGCTACCTATGAAAGAGACATTTAATGGGGAAATGTACATGCCACGTGGTTAATTCTAATACCGGCCTTTGTTGAAACGACACACGATTGCATGGAAAGTTACGGTGGAATCCTCTATTCCCTCCAGTCTTCGTTCCGACACTTGTTGAATTTCCATTCAGCCTTAAAGTGGACAATTCTCTTCTTCCGCGTATCTTTCCCTTTTACTCCATAGAAGAACTTTCTTTTCCGATCTACGAACAGTTCCATGCACTTTTTTTCCCCCTCGTTTCGCAAGTTCTCGCTCCTGTCGCGCATATTTTGTACGCGATAATTAACGCTCGTTAGTGAGAATACTGTAGAAGGAATTTTAATAATATCGCTCAAACGAGATGCGTCAGACGAGGTGCATCAAAAGCGACAATATTTCATCGTTAATATCGTGTGTGTACGTGGAAGGAAAAAAAAATAAATGCTCGTGCACCAGACGGCACGAATTTTCATCAATCGATCATATTCATCACGCTTGCGTCGCATAGTATATTATGGTGGTAAAATCATTTTAATACGCACACAAGAACAACTGGTACAATAGTATTACTCGATCACCTAATTAGAAAGGGAGAGCCAAAAGGCGCGGCAAAGAAGATACGTACGGCATGGTAAAACGGTGTATGCTTTTATAATAGCACCGTCGTGTCGTATTTGTCTTGGCATATCGATCGATTATAAAAATACGTAGCCAGGATCCGGTTTTTCCAAGACCGAGCCCGAGACGAACCATCGTTACATCTCGACAAAATATGCAAATGTGCGGTTCATCATTGAAACCTTTCAAATTCCCTTTAGCTTTTCGGAACGTTGTGTTGTCGAATTTGCATAAAATGGATCCATATAGGGGAAGAGATTAGGACAGATAGTCTGACGATAGACTTGGAATCACAGTTCATAGGCAAACGGAAATAGAACGAAGTAGTATTTATGCGTCTCGATCAGAAATATTTGCAGAAGGCACATCTTTCGTTCGAACGAATTGAAAACTGCGAGCCAGTTTGTCACTGGGTACATATACCCGATAAATCGATAGAGGCCAAGAGTAGGTATACATCGGTATGGACAATCCCGATTCGTAGTTCACGAAATTGATTTGTTCCAGAGAAGTAGGAAATCGCGAGATTCGAGCAAAAGCTGATCTACAATATTCTCTTGCAAAATATCGAGGAAAAGATTATTGAAAGAATTACTCTGATGAGCTTACTAGACATGTGGCAAATCTGCCCCGCAAACGACACCAATTAAAGGGATTATATTTCCAGTATAAATTAATCGTCTATATAACCATAGACGTAGATTATTCGCATTTAAACACTTTCCAAGATCGTTAGATGAGAAAGCAAGGAATTTTAAAGCAGCTTCTCGCCTCTGTCCATTTTTATTCAAATTTATTTGATGCATTAAAGTAGAAAATGTACGAATGGGTACCCAAGTATCTGGTTATTCGCACAAGGGTTAAATACAGGCTTGCAATTAGTTACGAAGTAAGGTAATGAAATACGGAAAGAAAATAGGAAAATACGGAAGATCTTGATTTCTTCTGGCGATGTCGAATTGAGGTATCGTCATACCAAAAGCATCGAATTCTAGGTACTCTTGTATAGGAAATTCTCCATCGATGACCCGAGGGTTTGTGGCTTTCGCGTTGGCTATTATACGAACATATGTCAGATAATAGAACACATTTCTGTCAGCGGGAGCGCCGGTAACAAGCTGCTAACAATCCTCTTCTTGTGCCGGCAAAGATATTACACGGCTGACAAAGATGACGGAGAGGAAGAATGCGTGTTAACTCGATTTCATCGAAGACAAAATAACACCGTCCGGTTTCCCGGTGTTCTATTAATCTTCGAACGATCGATCGATCAGTCGCCAACTGAATTAATTAGCGTAGCTATCTAGACGATTATTTTCAACGATCTAACAAGCTTCTATCACCGTGGCTAGTTACATTTTGGCGAACTAATGCCCTAATGACATTCGTTCCGTGTCGTCTCTGTGAAACGAGGCTGAAATATGTGATCCAATTATCGAATACTCTCGAAGCGACAATTATCGACTAATTCGTCCTGTCATCGTAGACAAACACGATCCAGAGCAATAAGATTTAAAAACGCGTACCGCTTAATCCCATGCGATAAAGGTTTTGCGTCTCATTAAAATGTCAAATGAGAGTAACACATAAGCTGTAATAAATTCCCTCAAAGAAATCGTACGTCATTTTTCCTTTGTCGCTTCTCGGCCTTCTCTGTCGAACTACCTTTATGAGCAATGGATGAGGTTGTCACACATGAGCGCGTGACCGCCCATTTGGAGCAGTAGACAATATTTTTAGACCCCTCTGCCCGCCTCCCTCTTTCCACCCCTCCTCTGTTTTCTCTTTGCCGTTCTATGACTATCATGTATCTGACTAAAAACTGCCTCGATACAACGAATACCTCTAATATCTGTCGACTAGATTCAACCTTTCTTCATTACGCAGACGCTAGATCGCAACCATGATATTTCAGGGTCTCCTCCCTTCCGTACTTGTGCATAGCACTTGAAAATTCCTCTATTCTGTGTAAACAGAGGAAGAAGGACAAGCGAACAATGACAAAATTCGGAAAATCGATGCAACCTCTTACCACCCTTAAAGTATATAAGAAACGGACATGCAACGGTTCAATTTTTGACGCATAAACAGAGACTTATTGTTAGTGCAGCACTATAAGTACAAAGTTTGTTCGTTTCTTAGACAGAAGATAAGTTCGGAAGAGAGCAGTATCACCGAAGTGTTGACATGGTATACAAGCGTGAACGCAGCGATGTTGGACCATCTGACTAATCAGATCAAAGAGACGGACAACAGCGGAGTTTGGAGGTAAAAGAAAGAATTTTATTAGCGATTTTGTCGTGGCAGACATACTGATATTTTACAGACATTTCTTGTAAAATAATGGCACTGCGTTTCGTTAAAGTCGTGACACGGAAAGGAAAAGAGTGGATGGTTAACTTGAGCGGAACCATTTAAGTAAATCAATTTTTCAGTTAGCGGAAAGAAAGTTTGCATAAGCAGGATGGAAAGTTGTAAAGTACATCAAGTTACTCGAAGCTTGTCTGAAATGAGAATTAATTCTAAAGTTTAAGTAACGGTTAAATCCTCGTTTTATCGTCGCTCTATATACGTTCTATCGCCGCGACAGCTGTACGATAAGCTTTTGAATTCGTGTAAATGGTAATATCTTGGTGTTTCAGGTATTTGATAGCTTTTAAAAATTTGCTGAGAAGCATCGAGAGCTTGGGTATTGCTTCCGTGTATGGAATCAATTACTTTGGGCGTGGAATCCTTGTGGGGGACAATTACGTCAGCTACGTTCGCCATGAAGCTCTTGGACGTGATCTCCTCAGCGGATCTCTCACTTATGTGCCTTCTCTCAAACATTTTTACGCCGAACTCACCCGCACCATGCCAGACTATGGAAGAATTAAATCCAGGTACGAAAAGACCATATTAAAAATACTAAAAGAGAAGGAAGAGAGAGGGACCTTTCAAACTCTGGGCCAACTTTCAACTTGTTGAACGGATAAAAAAACTTTCGAAATCTAAGCAGAACTTGTATAATAGAACGAGTAAGCGAAAAGTTTGAGCGTCGGCGTATAAAATGCATGAAACAAGGGAGATAGGTTTGTTTGATGCATTACAGACGAGATGAAATCCTCCAGAATCAGAAGAGAGAACCGAGCGTCGACGATGCGATCGCTTATTTCGATTCAATGGCAACTTACGTGGATGAGCTCCGTAAACTTCAACGAGAATTACGTCACATGATTAGGTAAACCTTCATAACGCATGTTGTAATTTCACGGTTGCTAAAATTTTGAATGAAAATACATAGTTTTAGTATGATTATACTTGAATTAAACAATTATAATTCAACAGGGATTATGTGAATTCTACTTTACAAGATGCAAGTAACAAAGAAGTTGCCGGAATAGCTATAGTTGTACTAGTTTTGGTTGTTTCTCCTATCATTATAATACTAGTACGTAACGCAGTAGCAACGATTCAAGTAAGTGATTATCCTGTACAATTCGTACCTAATTGTTGCTTCTCAGAGATTATATGAGTACAATTGTAATATAATTAAACGAAAATTCAATTCGTTTCTAACCGCTTCATTTTTATATATAATTCTAATATTCGAGACTGTCCACTTTTGCAACCGAAAACAAAGTGTCAAATTCTATTGACAGTAACATCAGTCAATTGTTATTATTTTTAACTGATTACGACTGCAACAGTATAAGTCTCTTATTCAGATCGTTAAAGATGTGACGAGTCAGTCGATTTTTGTCACCACTCTATATCGTTATTAGTAAATATATTTTTGTCTCGAACAATTTTAGATGTATGCAGCTAATTTGGCACAGAAGGCACGAGAATTGAAACAAGAGAAGGGGAAAAGCGATACGTTGCTTTTCCAAATGTTGCCTCCCAGCGTTGCTCAACAACTGAAACAAACACAGCAGGTAGCTAATTAACAACTATCCTAGTAAATATTACGTTCTCAATTATTGACAATTGTTTCGTTTGTTTAAAAGGTTCCAGCAGAATATTACGAAGCAGTAACCGTGTATTTTAGCGACATCGTTGGATTCACAGAAATTGCTGCGGAGAATACTCCCCTAGAAGTAAAATTCTTTACCGACATGTATAAAATGCTTCCCAATTTATTTGTACTTTAAGTTATTATATCTTTGTAGGTAGTTACTTTTCTAAATTCAATCTATAAATTGTTCGATGGGCGTATTGAATGTTACGATGTATATAAAGTTGAAACAATTGGCGATTCATACATGGTTGCTTCTGGCTTGCCTGTTAGAAATGGTAAAGACCTTTCGTCAGTCCATACGATCGTATACATTGTACAAAATATTCTAATCTAACGATGATTTTTGTTAAAGGAAATAAACATGTATCCGAAATAGCGACAATGGCCCTCGATCTTTTAGCAGCATCGTCGGTATTTCAAGTACCAAAGCGACCCGGAGAACGTCTACAAATACGAAGCGGTGCCCATACAGGACCTGTAGTTGCTGGAATTGTAGGAAGCAAAATGCCTCGTTATTGCCTATTTGGGGATACTGTAAATACGGCCAGCCGTATGGAATCAACTGGAGAAGGTTTCTTATCAACTTTCTTAATTTTCATATTAAACGCACATTTCTATATATTTTAACTTTGATTTATTTTATCCAAAGCTCTACGAATACATATTAGTCTAGAAATGAAGAAAGCTTTGGATGCTGTGGGAGGTTTCAAAATCGTACATCGTGGTTTGGTAGATGTCAAGGTAAATGTTTTGAACAACATACGTATGTATATTGTATCTACGTGTATCTATCGTGAGATATATATTAAACAGAATACCTGAATAAAACTAATTTTTTAGGGAAAGGGACTAATGGACACCTACTGGCTGGAATGTAAAGACGGTGGCATCGGTCGTGCAGCAGAAATAAGTCTGCCCCCGTTCTTCGAAGATGTCCGACCAGTTTTCATACGCCGATTACGGGAGGAAGGTACCCTTTGATGCGAGCCGTATTCCCGACGGGATCTCTGGTACCTGAACCGACCACCTACTCCTTACATCCGTCTTTCGCAACCCAACCTTATCGATCACTTAAAGAAACCTACTCAAGGTCGTAAGAACCGACTGTCTCATCCAAATCTCCACATTACTCCGGTTAAACCACCTCCACAATCGCAGTCTAGTATCGAATCTCAAGACTCTGCGACATACGAAGGAACTCAATCAACGACGCCCTGTCCACCAAGTTATTCTCCAGCTAGTCAACGCAGCCGTTACTCCCAACCGAATCTACCTACTCTTCTGATATCCCACGACAGAAGATCCGGAGGTTCGACAGATCGTCGTATACGAATGTCTCAGCCTACGTTAAACTCCAGTTTTAGCGGTATTAATTTTGCCGGAATGAATCGCAGCTCTAGACTGTCTTACACGAGTCTCAGAGCAGCTTCTGGAGATAACAGTATCAACGAGGAAGAAAGATTATCAGCGCGGAGTGTACAAGGTTTTGGTGGAAGCTCGAGAGGAAGCTTAACGATGGACCCAGGTTCTTCGAGGCTGTCTCAGCCAGACGTAACGCGATTTATCTTACGCCAAGACGTACCGGCGAAACGTGAACGCCTCTCTCAGTCAACTCTAGTTATTGGTGATTATCATCCTGGCCGTGGTCAACAGAGATTATCTCAACCTTGCCTAAGCACAGGGAAAGACCTCAATTTACCCACGATGGTATTTCATTCTCCTTCTCCACCGCCTGTCAAACACAAAAGATTCTCCCCTGCCATACACGCTAGCCAGAGAGACCGTCTGTCGCAGTTGGATATTGGTGCTAAATACAGAAACTTCAAAGAATCCGCTGTGACGAAATTTAATCGAGATAGGTTTTCAATACCGGAACTAGAAACGCAGAACGATCTTAGATTAATAGCTGGCACGCCTAAGCAAAGATTTAGTTTAGACAGTCAGTTGACTCGTAATCAGGATGTAACTCGGTCCAGATTATTGCCAATTGCTAGTTCACCTATCAGTGAACACCAACAAACTAAAATTGACGAACAAACGGGAATTCCTGGAGGTAAACTTAAAAGTCCCACTAGAGAAGGCCTTGGAAGTGTGCTTGTGGCAAGCACAACTCCAATACTACCACCAAGTGAAAGACAATTGCTGACAACCGAGTTAAGTAAAATAGCAACTGCATTTAACTCGACAGCGTTAATTACGACACAACAAAAGAGCCAGACAACACTTAGGACAAGTAAACTGCATAGATCAGTTTCACCAATTCCTACCAGGGAAAGAATGTCAGTACCTGAAATAAGAAATTCGAGTTTACGCCGACTGCTTGATCCACCGACGAGGCAAAGACATAGTATCACTGGCAATCTTAGACAGAGCATAATTTCACCCATTAAACCTCTTGACTTTGGCAAAAAGTCACCGAAACATTTGTTCGAAGAGGCTCTGGAAAGATTTCGAAAAGACGAGAAAGAAGAAAATCGAAAGAATGAAATTTCACATTCGGAAACTCTTGTGGATATAATTGATGAACCTAAACATATTCAAAAGCATTACTCATATACATACGAAAGTACGGACGATAGTTCCTCGATACTTGGAAAAATAAACATGTCCGCGATACCAAAGAAAAAGTATTTAGAAAGTAATTTCGATGAAAATGAACAAGTGATCACTACAGTGATCGAAACCGACGTACCAATGATAATGGCTAATCCGAAATACGTAAAGAAATCATCCTATTCGAGCGAGACCCCAAAATGGATTAGGAAATATTTAGAAAACGAGAGTCCGAAAGTAGGAAGGAAGACGATGAGCAACAAAGAGAAAACTAATAGAAGAAATAGTCGAAGGAAAAATTCTTTGGAATCGGTGGAAGGCGAGAAAATTACAGATAAAGTTCGTTCAAAGTCAGTAAGTAGCGGTGAAAGAAGTCCGATGTTAAAAAACACCGGAATACAGTCTGAATTGAAGAATATAAAAAATACGTATGTAAGAATTGTCCCTTCAAATAAAAGTCAAGAAAACAGGTACGAGGTAAAGATAGAAAATAATTGGATGGATGGAAATATTCATGAATTGTATGTCGATGAATGTGACAATACGGATTCCGATGATTCCACGTCCATTTAAATGAAACTAACGATACTAATGATAATGATCGAACAAATAAAACAAGAAAAATTTGTGCAACTAATCTATAATGGTATTTATAAATTGATGCAGTGAGAGATTAAAAAAATTTCGTATTCTGTACTTAAACCATTCAAACATTACGAATTTTATAAAAATTGATATTTTCACTAGTTAATGATTAAAGACCATGTAATAGGAAACAGTTTAATTAGCCTAAAGCACATTTTGAGAATGAAATAACGAAAACTGACATGCCCGATCCCAAGTATTTTCTCATATTACTGTGTATATTGTGAATTAATAATTGTAATCAACAGAGATTCACCGACAAAAAAAGAAATTTATATTTGTAACAATGATGACTTCTGGATCTCAGTATATTATGTTCATTCAAATTGAGAAGCGTTATCTTTATCCATATGCTATTAAAATATCTTGTAAATACCATGAATTATATTCATGTTATGTTTAATATCAAATGTATAATTAACAAATTTTAGAGAAATTAAAGATATCGGATTCTGTTTTGTTTTTATCGTTATTCATATTCAATTCGTATCTAAAATATAAAATTTTGTAACGCTTACTACTATGAGTAAAGGATCAGTGAAAACATATTTTACCTACTATTAGCATATTAAATATATAAACAGCATGAAATGTACATTTTCTCGTCAAAATACCACCGTGATTTTACGAAATGGGTATTAAAAAATTTATATTTTTTTTTCTATACTAGTCATCGATGAGATTCACGCGTGAATGCCATCTCAAATTCCTATTAACGAAGTTTAAGCCTTATCTCCAAAAAGCTCGTTTGTAGCATGAACGTTACGCTATATATATTGATACATATTAAAATGTTATGATATTATAACAGCAAAACGTAATTGATGTAATGTTATAATATCGTAAACTCGGTATGAATGTAATATTGCGGTTATGAATGTGAAACTTAGTTACTGTTTATCGTGAACATAAAAATGTTAGTTCTTTATGTACGTCATTTAATATGTGATTAAAGATGTTATACCAAAGATGTAACCAAAGTGAAAAATATATAAAACGTATTTAATTTTTAACAAACATGAGTTCTTTGCATCTTACATGTCTCATATAACTAATTTTTTACTGAACAGAAAAATTAACAAAATTCACGATTCAAAATATTTCCATTATACTTTTTGCCAAAATGGATATATTATAAAAATTCATATATGTACATCAAATTAAATTTTAAAGTATCTTCGCAAAACTTGAAAAATACATGCAAGAAATTTTATCTAAATTACGTAATAAATATGCATTACAAGTATTGTAGAACAACGCACCTTAAATTTACATATCTGTATCATTTTAAACATAGAGCACCCCTAAATTTAATCAGGACTATTAAACTGTTTTTTAAAAATTTATATTACTGACAAAAATTATACTTATATTTAAATCTAGCCTTATCAAAATTACACCATTATTGTAATTTGTACGTGACAAGAAAATAAGGCTAGTTCATAAAAACATGGTTAAATATAAAATATCATTAAATAACAATTTTGTTACGAAGGCGATGTTCTTTTAAGCATGGCATAGAACAGAAACGATTAGAATTATACTCGAAAGGCACCTGACCTGCCATATCCACTGCACATTGAAAGCATCGTGAAATTACAATACAGCCTTGTTTTAGAATACGTTGCTCTGCAGCTAATGCTCTCTAAAATAGAAATACACAGTGTTTAATGACTGGATATATTAACACTGAAAACCTTTAATAATCATTCTTTAAAATGGATACCTTTTCCTTGTCACTAAGGCTAAGATATCTTTGTTTTGCATCTTCTTCTTGCTTTTTAAGCTCAAATTCTTTTCTTTTTAGTTTATCCTTTTCTCGCTTTACTTTTCGTTGTTGTTTCCTTTTTTCTAATTCTTCTTGTTCTATTTCATCAGTTAATGGCCCAGGAATTTGAGACTTTTATAAGATGCACATATATTATTTTATACACAATAGTAATGATGTAATAAATGAAAGATAAAAAAAAAACATGATAGTAAATACCTTACTATAATTGAATTTCCCAGGATTTGCACCCATAAATCTTCTAAAAATATTTCTAGTTTCTTTATCATTAGTTGCTGCATATGGTGTTTGTAACTTCTTATTTTTATTGCAAGGATCTGATCCAATTTCTAGTAATTGCCTAAAATCGAAAACCTTAGTAAAAATATTATAAAGCAAAACAAAGATCTAATACAATAACAATTACCACACTAATTTTAAATGTCCACCCAGAGCTGCCAAATGTAGCATTGTATTGCCATCTTCGTTAGGATCATTTACCAATTTTATTACATCATCTTTGTTTATAATTGAACTAGAATGTATAGTTACATCTTCTTTATTTTGCTCTTCTGATGTCATACTCTTTTCTACTTGAGTTAATAAATTATTGATAACGGATGACAGTAATTCATTGTCACCGAATTTACATGCTGACCATAGTTTAACTTTAGCACTGGTTAATATTTCATTCATTACACACTCTAAAAAAGTACACTTTTTAAAATGTAAGAAAAGTATAATCATCGGAGGAATGTAATAATTTACCATCTTTCTTTGCTTTCTTCTTTTGACGACGAGCTTTTTTATTCTTCATGTATCTTGGTACAGTATCTTGAAACGCAAGTAAATTTTCATGAAATTCTACTTCTAATTCTTGCTCAATTAATGAAACATCAATTGGAATATTAAGAGTACTTATTTGACTATCCAATTCTGATTCTGAAGATGATTGTGCTAATTTAGCAACAATATCTAAACGCCAACATAGAATAATTATTCATTTAATCATTTAATTGTATTTTATACATTTGTAACAATATTTTGAACTTTGTACCTGGTAAAGGACGACATGGACTTTTTCTCGGTTTTGCTCTATCTATATGGGATCGAGAATTTCTGTGTTGTCTTTCAGGTGATGATTGAGTAGAAACTTTATTCTTACCACTATCTTGAAGATTACGCAAACTATTAATAGCATTAGAATCATACTCTCCATTTTCTGCTTGTTCTGGAACTTCACCAGGTAAATCAGCTTTTGGAACTTTTTTTCTAAGTGGTTGACGTGGTGAAATAGGAAAAGAATCTGTAAAATCAGCTGCAAAACCTGTAACATATATTAATAAAGAAAATATGAACTCCTCTAAATTTTTAAAATGCAATATTAACATCATACCATAAATTTCCATGGTACTTAATATATCATACACCCTTTTAACTTCACTGAATGTTGCTCTACGAGAAGGGAAAGGTAATGGTCTTAATCTCAAGTCATTCTTATCTAAAGGTGGATTTTTTCCTCCAAATAATACAGTACGGTTATATGGACCAACTGCTCTATATAGAATTAAAGAGGAATTATTGATATAAGATGACCATGTTTCAAGTATATCTTGCACATGCTGAAAAAAGATCATATTAATAGATATAGAGAAAACAGCCTATATCTAAATCTATAAATTAACTACCTGAAGAAGAGATGCTTCGTTATAACGACGCAAACTAGCTCCAGCACTCTTTGTATGATTAGCTGTTGTACGTGAACTTTGGGCAAATCCCTGCTTTGCTCGTACGGTATAAGAATGAAATGTTTTATGCACAACAGGTTCCCCATCTAAAATGGAAAAGAACTTGTTTATAATTTGAATATTATAACTACCTTTCTTCCACATTAAAACTAGTACCTTGAAATACGGCTGCAGCAAAATGTCCTCCACCGATCATGATAATAGTCCATGTTGTTTTTTTCCCACTTTCCAATGCCTGAGCAATCATCTCATTGTCAACCTCTGGAATTTCCTAAAATGTAATTGCATCTCTCCTGATCTGGCACGTATAGACATGCCAAGTGATTCTAACAAAGTAGATTAAATTACAAGATAAGATTATAGACAAGCATGTCTATACTTAGAGAAAATTGTTCACAAAACAATACTTTCTAAGCACTATAAATGAACAGACCTTTTTATTGTGCAGTAAACATCTATACATACTAAATATATTTCCATCATCATTCTCAAAAAAAACTTTTGAATGACGACTTGCAGTAACCACTAAAGCTTCTACTTTTTTCTCTTTTATAGTGTCATCACAACATTCTGTATCTGAACTATCAGAAACTGATTCTGTATTTTTTCCTTTTTTTTCAGTTTTCTTACTCTTATTAACAAAGTTTCTATTTTCACAATGTCCACTAAGTGAATTCCCTACTTCTAAGACATATGTTTCATCTTCATTCTCCGAATCTATATCACTTCCAGATAAACTTGAAACATCGCCTATAATGTTAACAATGATAAATTTCATATTATCAGATATCATAATTATACCAAAAAACTAATAATTTATTTAGTAATACCTTCATCAGCTAAAAGATTAAATTTATCTTCACTAATAGATTTTAATCCATTCAAACGCTGTTTTAAATTGTACCGGTGCCAATCTAACTTGTAATGAAGTCTTTGCTGTGTTTTATCTTCAAATACAGTATTACAAAATGAACAACTTAGGGAATCAGATACAACTAAATCATCAAGTTGACTCAATACTTTTTCATTTTCTGAAACTAATGCGACAAAATGAGGTTTTTAATTTTACTTTATAAATTTGTATATTATATTAAAGATTAATTTTAATCATTTGTGATCCCCAAAATTGTAAACATACAGTACTATAACCTTAAATACATGGTTTCTATATATTTTAAAGTTTTAAAATACAAATCAATCTGAATGGCGCAACTAAAGGATAGACAAATAAAATGGTTAACTTTTAATAAAAATTTTTAATTTAAAAAAGTATAAGTACTCGTGGTCTCAATCGTCATTATGAGTACAAACACCACTTCATATGAAATAGCATTTAAAATGGAATTTTTGATATTTTAAGTACAATTACCAGATGACGATCGCGATTGCATGCATTGTGCAACTTTAATTCCCTTTGTAATTCTGTTAAAGTCTTCATGATTATATATTTTAAATATTTGATGATCCATCATGCACGTTATATCGTAATCTTTCAATAGAAAACTGTGTATTTAAAATCACACTGAAAGGATAAAATACAATTACCGATAAAGTAGAATAAAAATATAATAAACTTCTATTTCAAAGAAAAATGCACAAGACACTACTGCTTGCTCAATGACGAAACACAAGAACCACAAGTTCTACTAACCTTTCTACGTATATATGTATATATAGTATTTCACGGCAATTAAACGTCAGGATTGAGCAACGAAATAAGACACCCAATGCAAATCAGAAATAATTTATATTTACATTAATATCATTTACATTTTGTTTAAAAACAGTAGTGTGTCTTATTAAAATATAATTTTAATCTTATAGATTATTTAGACCTTTGAATATATAAATATTGAACTATTAATTATAAAGTACCCTATTTTTACTGAGTCCTGATACGAAATTACATCATCGTTACCTTTCGTACATATATATGTTATAATCAACATAGTACAAATTTAAAAATTTTAAAGCACGAGTGGAAAACAATAAACTATTAAATACAAAGGATTTGTGTTACCTTATTTAAAAATTGTTAAATATTGTTATATAGAATACAATTATTAATTTCACTTTGTCTTGAATTCTATGAATATGAAAACTTTTCAAATTAAAGTTAAACTATAAGATTATTTCTTTGTATCCTTTAGCTCACTTATGTTTTATGAAACATAACTTTTTTTTAAATTTTACTAACTGTTTAAAAAAAGCACGTAATTAAGTAACTAAATAAATGATATAAAGAGATAAAATTAGAATGCAAAAAAGTAAGCGAAACAAAAGAATATTCGATCTGAAACAGTATATCTAAGCTAAAACTTACAAATAACACGCAGATATAAACTCCGAACTTATGAATAAGCTTTTTAATGTACTACATTATAAACCGAAAATATTCTTTATTCGCTGACATGTTAATTATACATTGTTTGCATACTTGGCAATAAATTTAATTCGCAAACAATATGGATTCAGTATAAAATCTTCACAGGTACCTTTCATATATATTTATATCCGCACTACATTCGCTGTATAATAGGTATAAAATAATTTATTGCAAATATGAAAAAAATGTACTGATTATTTAATATTTGCGTGCTGCATCAAATGTAAATATGAAAGAAATATTAAATGGGGGAAAAATAATTGAAATAATTCAAAATAATTATCTGTCGCTTACGATTTATTAGAATTTATTAAAATTTATTATTTCAACAATGTTAACAATTTGACATACAAAATACTCCGTGTAATTTATTGTTTAAGTTTTTGAACATTTCTCAAAAAATTAATATGATACAGAATTAAAATTTTATTTAGATTATTAGTGTTCAAATGAATGGTATACTTCAATGTTATTGTAATCATTGATATTTTTGAAACAACATTAAATATATTTAATGAAAAAATATCCTGAACATTACAATAATTACAGTAACATAATAATATATTGTACATATGCATGTGTATATAACAAAAAGTTAAAAGGTACTACATATAATACTTGTTAATAGGGTATACTACATATAATGTTATTTTTAAAACTTAATTTAAATTTGTTAATAAATATCTTATAAACATTTAATCAGTCTTAAACAAAAAAGAAATTAACATAAGTAATAATTAATCACTGATAATACATAGATTTTGTACTTTCTAGATCTTTCACCAACATATTACACATCATTTCATATTATGTTAATATATTCTAGTTCTACTTAATATTTTCTTTTATTTATAAAATTAAAAATAAAGATATATCTTTTCACGTTATAAGCTTATTTAAACAAATATTGTTTACTTCTAACATTGATATAGGCTATGGATACAATTTTTATGTTCTTATTTTAATATTGTTACTCCAAAATATTACTTTCTTCTTTATGCATTATTATACAAAATTATCTTTTCTTCATACAAAATATATATAAATTTGCATAACATAAATTATTTATCTTACGATTCATTATTAAATTAAATATATAATTAGTTAACATAAATAACAAATAAATATAGTCACTGCAGAGTGTTCTACAATCCTTTGTAAAGAAGTACATATACACTACTACATTGTCATGATATTTTGAAGATATTAAAGGCACATATAAACAAAAATTAGTATTCCATTTAATATTCCAATCAGGTAATTTATTTGTACACCGGATACTTTAGGAAGCCTGAAAAAAGAATAACATATTAAGAAAAAAGAAAATAATGGTTGATATTTCACGTATGAAAAATATACAATTTTTTCTAGAAAATATTAAACTTCATAATAAACTTTCCAAACCTTAACTTACCTTTGCTTAGATAGACTAATAGGGGAAGGTGGGTTGATTCCAGGAATACTGCTATCTTTGTAAATAATAAACCAAGTAAAACCCATCATAATAAAACCACATATTGCTGCTCGTATTAACCATCCGTATGATTTACAAAACGATGTCATTACATTAACAACATCATCGTATTGACTACTGTTAATAAATTTTTCATTTACAGCTGCTAATTGTTTATTACCGAATTCTGACACACCAGATAAATAGGATAGATCAAATATATTGGACATATTTGAAAATACAGATGTTGATGATGCTATATATTTAATATTATTTTGCAGCTGTAAAATACTACCTAAAGAGATGATATGAAAATATCAACGCTCACAATACTATATAAATTATATAACATGCAATGCTGCAACAAAATTTTTGTTATAAATTTAAATTTATTAGAAAAACAAGTAATACTTATATTTTCTACTGCTTATCCTTCTTTGAAATTTAATAAAATAATAATAAAAAGCATGTCAGTTTATAGTTTCCAAAGCAAAAAAAGAAATTTAATTTATAAATTTAATTGTAAATGACATGATGTTGCATAAATTAGATATGTTCAAGCATAAATTTTATATTATTATTTGAAGCTTGTCAATACGAAGATATTGGAAAAATTATTATAAACAATACATTCCTTAATTCCAATTATATGAATAAAAATATATATATATATACACAGAGTATAAGTCCATGCAACATATATTAATACACACATCAACTTTACAAAACAAACTCCTTCACAAAGTAGTAATTTTTTTAATACATTACTTACCATAATTTATATATAACTTTCCCAAAACGATAGACAATGATATTATAAAGAGTGAAAAACTAAAAGTCCCTTCATTTATCCGTAACCTTTTCCACAACCTTACTGGTGCTGTGTGAACTTTATCTGTCATTAAATTGCTAATTCTCTTTGAAGGTAAATCTAATTTTTTTCCACCCATTTCGATCTTTAGTTGCAAAAATCATATGTGTTTCCACCGATCATTCAAGAGATTATAAATAACAAATGACATATACTGCCAGAAATAGTGAATAATCATAACACACATACTATAAACATATGATTCAACACGCATGCGTGAGTGCGTTCAGCGCACATACACTTACGTATACGCGATGCAAACAAATCTTTACGCCTGCGCTTTAAAAACGCTTATTCAGGACTGTACCATTAATTTTTATAAAAATATAGAATTAAACATTTTGAAGATAATCTTTTGTGCATAGATATACAGAAGTTTTAATAAAATTTAAAAGTATTTGAATATTTTAGCTAGTAAATAAAATAAACAAGAAATAAGAATAATATTTAACAAACTTCAATTTTTTAATTTATATGTTCTTTATAGTATTTTATTCCTTTATCTTTCATTTATCATTTACAGTTGTAGTATTATAAATAAATATTTGTAAAATATTATACCCATTATATCATATCATAAACAGAAATAAATGACTATAAACACTCTAACAACGTTACTGCAATTGTAAGATTATGGAGGGGTGAAAGATAGGTAGAAGATTTCAGTTAACCGCATTCGTCATTCGCTTGGCGGCGAAGACGGTGTGTTCAAAGGAGCTGGACTCCGGTGAAAAAAAAGTCGTGTATATTTATACGTATATGGAACCATAAGTCGTTCAAATACATGTACTATTAGAAAAATGGCAACGCAAGAGGAAATTGGTATTGGAGATTTGGTTCTTTTAGACGAAATCACATTGGAAAAGATTGTGGATAATTTACGAGTAAGGTAAGATTATGTTTTGACTAGTGATGAATAAGGCGGTATATCAAGAAATTGGCGGGAAATTAACGAATGCAAGTTGCTTTTTCTTGAAGAGATATGACAGGTATCGTGTTTATGTTCCAATAATCTTAGTACTTCGTAGATCATCCACCAAGAGGGCGTGGCTAACCACATATTAGCAGGTGGTTGCAATTCGGCGTCATATATTTGGATTTGAACTTGACCTATAAAACCCATAATGATAAAATATGTCGAAATTTTATATTAAAATTACCTTCAATTCATATGTTTCCAGTTATGATTTAAATATTTAGATTCAGAGCCATGAACCTATATCTTTTTACATTTCTATATTAAAATAAAATCATCAATTATAATATATATACAATTTCTACGTTTTCATACAGAAACACATTAGTATATTTTCAAATGCGATACTTAGTTTCGTAATAAATAATGTTTGTCTTATCTAGTTCTATATTCTATGAGTCATCGTCTACGGTTCGTACTTAAACTTTACATTATACTTAACTGGCTATTTTTGATAATGAAAATGTTTTTTTGTTCCTTGTATTTCATGTAAATATAAACTATATTTATATATACTTGATCCAAAAGAAAATTATTTATTTTATTTAAATATCTGTATCTAAAAATAAATCATTTAAGGAGGAAAATAATTTTTAATGTGTGATTAATAAAAAAAAAAAGAAATAATTCAATATTTCGTAAATATAATATGTGTATAATATATGTTTTTAATTATAGTATATAATTGGTAATACAATATTTAATAAATAATCATACTTAAAGATAACTGAAATAATTGATAAAGAGATAAAATTTATCTTTTACAAATGAAAAGTAATTTTTGTAATAGTATTCGTACATATTGAAGTTCTGTTGGTTTAAGTTCATTTTATAATATATGTTATCATTTTAGATTTAATGGTGGTAAAATTTACACATACATTGGAGAAGTATGTGTCAGTATAAATCCATATAGAGGTATAAATATATATGACAATGCCTATATTAATAAATATAAAGGTAAAATATCATATTGCAAACATTTCTTAGTCAAATAAAATAATGAAAAGATATCAGACAATATATAGTACAACTTTGTCAAAATTACATTTCAGATAGAGAATTATTTGAAAATCCACCACATATTTTTGCAATTGCTGATGCAGTCCATAAAGAAATGAAACAACAACGCCGTGATACTTGTATAGTAATAAGTGGAGAATCAGGATCTGGTAAAACAGAAGCAAGTAAAATTATCATGAAATATATTGCTGCAGTTACTAATTTAAGTGGACAACAAGAAATAGAAAGGTATAGGTCATTCAAGAATTGTATTTTATTACACTTAAACTTCCTAAAGTCATTGTTTTATTTTTAAAAAATTAAAGTATGATAAAATAATTAATCTCATATCATTTGTCTTTAGAATTTTATATTTTTAGCATTAAAATTATTTTTTCTTGTATATCAGAGTAAAAAATATTCTTATTCAATCAAATTCAATATTGGAAGCTTTTGGAAATGCAAAAACAAACAGAAATGACAACTCATCTCGGTTTGGAAAGTACATGAATATAGATTTTAATTTCAAAGGTGATCCAATTGGTGGCCATATTACTAATTATTTATTAGAGAAGTCCAGAGTTGTATATCAGCAAAATGGTGAACGAAATTTTCATTGCTTTTACCAGGTATTAGCAATACTTTCATTGTAATTTATTTTGTCTCTTTCACATAAAGTATTATATCTGTGAAATATTTTATTTTAAATTTGTAGTTGTTAAATGGTTGTAGTGAAGGAGAATTAAATAAATTACGTTTAGTACGAGATTCAGCTGCATACTTCTATGTTGGTGCTGGCAATTGTAATAAAGCAAATTCAAGTGATAAAACTGAGTATAAAACAGTTACTTCTGCCATGTCTACTCTTGGATTTACTCAAAATGAAATGCAAACAATCTGGAACATTATTGCTGGGATATTACATCTGGTTTGTTATAACTGATACATTAAGAAAAATTGAATTTTTTTTACATTGTTTCTGATATAAACTATGATTTCTAGGGTAACATTACTTTTAAACTTGTTGAGGATAAACTATCCATTGAAAATAGAGCTGCTTTAAATGATACAGCAAATTTATTTTCTATTAGTCCACAGGAATTAAGTACAGCTCTTACACAAAGAGTTATTGCAGCAGGTGGAGAAGTTATGCAAAAAACACATACTTCAACAGAGGCAGAATATGGTAGAGATGCATTAGCAAAAGTAATTTGTGTTTGATAATCTTCCTTCTTTTTTTCTTTTTTTTTTCCATTTAAAATATAAGTTAGTATCATATAAAAAGTACTTTAAAAAATAAATTATTTTAGGCTATATATGAAAGATTGTTTGCTGACATTGTATCTCGTGTTAATACCACAATTAATGTAAATGATGCAGAAATTAATAAAAAATACAGAACAGTAATTGGAGTACTTGATATATATGGATTTGAAATTTTTGACATAAATAGCTTTGAACAATTCTGTATTAATTATTGTAATGAAAAACTGCAACAATTGTTCATTGGTAAGACAGTTTTATATAAAATAATTATATTGAAAGGATTAAATTAATATCTAATCTTTTAGAATTGGTGTTAAAACAAGAACAAGAGGAATATAAAAGAGAAGGTATAGCATGGAAAAATATTGATTATTTTAATAATCAAATAATTTGTGAGTTAGTAGAACAACCACATAAAGGAATTATAGCAATTATGGATGAAGCTTGCCTTAATGTTGGGAAAGTTACAGATGAAGTCAGTTTCTTAATTTACTATTTATATTAATTATATTTATTATTTGTTATGGTTGTTATACTTAAAAAGACTGCTTATTATATAACAAATTTTTTTTAGATGCTTCTGGGAGCTATGGATAAGAAGTTATTTGATCATAAGCATTATACTTCTCGACAGTTGAAACCCATGGATAAAGAACTTCAACATAAAATTCAATTCAAGATTAAACATTATGCTGGAGATGTAATATATAATATTAATGGCTTCTTAGATAAGAATAAAGATACATTATTCCAGGATTTTAAACGTTTACTTTACAAAAGCAATAACTCAATAATTAGCAAAATGTGGCCTGAAGGAGCTCAAAATATTTTAAAAGTATGTGAATACATTTACTTTATAACTGAATATTAAACTATTTTTATTGCTGTACTATTTTATTTTAGACAACAAAAAGGCCTTTAACAGCTGGAACTCTTTTCCGTAATTCCATGATAGATTTAGTTAAGAATTTAACAAGCAAAGAACCATTTTATGTTAGATGTATAAAACCTAATGAAGTTAAATCACCAGTTGTATTTGATGAAGAAAGAGTAAATCATCAAGTACGATATTTGGGTCTTCTTGAAAATGTATTAGTCAGAAGAGCAGGTTTTGTATACCGTCAACGATATGACACATTTTTAAAACGGTATTTATATTTATATATCTATGTATGTACAAAAAGTAATACGATTATTATGTAATACAAAATTATTCAAATATTATTAACGAAATTGTATTTAACAGGTATAAAATGATATCTCAATATACATGGCCAAATTTTAGAGGTGGTAGTGATAAAGATGGTGTATGTACATTAATGGATGAAAAAGGTTTTAGTAATGATGTAAAATATGGTCATACTAAAATATTTGTTCGCTCGCCTCAAACACTTTTTGCATTAGAAAAGGTTTGTTAATTTACAATTTACATTATTTAGCTTTGTTTATTTAAAAATATGCATGTTTAAACATTTCTTTTAAAGCATATTTATTTTTAGGCACGTAGTGATTTGATTCCAGATATTGTAATATTACTACAAAAACAATGGCGAGGATATTTATGCCGTCAAAAATACAAAAAGATGAAAGCTGCGCTTATTATAATGAAACATTATCGAAAATATAAGATGCATGCCTATATTAAAGAATTAGAAAAGATGTTCCAAAATGCAAAAACTATGCGAGATTACGGCAAACATTTAACTTGGCCTCGTGAAAATTTTGCTGTAAGACATATAATATTTGCTTTAAAAATGATGTACGGAAGATGGTGGGCATGGATGATTCTTAGACTTATTCCTAGAGAAGATTGGCCTCAGTTACGATTAAAGGTACGTATGTAATTCGTCAAAATGTTCAATTTTTAGTTCAAATTTTTTATATTAATATAATGTTAGATGGCTGCGGGAGTAGTTTTGCGTTCGAAGCGACTTCATTGGGGACAAGATAGACGCTGGGAAGGGAATTATCTTTCAAAACCAGACGAAAATCCTCAAAGTGATATTTTTAATTCTTCAATAAACAATCTTCGTAATACCGACCATTTTAAAGCAGTCTTATTTAGTGCATTTATTAGGAAAACCAATAGGTTTGTATGCACTGTTATATTAGTAAATGTTAATTTTACAAATTCGATTCTAAGTAAATTATAATTGTAGATTTAATAAATCAAATGATCGTGTGTTAGTAGTTACTGAGCATGCGATATATAAACTCGAAAGTTCTAAATTTAAAAACATGAAAAAAGGCATGCCAATAAAAGAGATAACAGGTTTAAGTGTATCACCTGGCAGGGATCAACTTATAACAATTCATTCAAATCGAGGAAATGATTTCATTATGTCAATCATTGCTAAAGATGACAGAGTTGGAGAATTGGTTGGTATTTTAAGCAATAAATATAACCAGTAAGTACATGTTTATTATTCAAAATTTTGTTTGTAAAACTTTATAACTTACATACATACATATTAAAATAATATATTTTGTAATAGATTACGTTCTGCTGATCTACAAGTTACAGTAGATGTAAAATTTAAGTGTATGCTAGGGAATAAGAGCAAAATATTACGAGTAGAAGTACATCCTGAAGTTCATGAGCCAATGTTCAAAAAAGATGGTGATAATATTATATATGTTATTCCACCGTCAGTCGGTATAATTGATGGAAGTACTAATACAAGGTTTCACTCTAGAACCACTAATTAAAACGGTGCTGAAGCTGCCTTTTTAATATTCTGTTATATATATTAAAATTAAATTATTCCATATGCTAATAATGTTGTAACAGATATATATTTTTTTTTGGGAGTACTTTTTTATCCATGCATTTTTTAATGTACAAATAATATTAGGCAAATTAATAAGGTTGTAAGTTAAAAGCAAGTGACAATACATTAATTTAACAATATAAAGCATTTTCTAGTGCAAATACACATATTACGTTATGCATACTGTATCAAGTAAGTAATTTCTAAATAGAAAGAATTAATCACAGTGGTTAATGAAATCTTTTTATAGAAATTCATAAAAAACTATATCCATTAAAGGTAATGCATTTCAAATTGTAAAGGATAAATGTATTATTTTTGTGGATAAGATGTAAATTTTTTAATTGCGAAGATGCATAGAATTTAAGAGAATTAACACAGTATTGCTTTAAAAAAATGTATCAGTTTTTGATACAGTAGCCTTAAATATCTACTAATGTGGCATTCTACTTAAAGTATTTTTTAAATATATTTTTACACTATCGTTAAATATTTATATATTATATGGAAATTTAATAAGATTTGTAAAATAGAATTTATATTCATGTTAAAACTGATCTGTAGATTAATAAAATTTTACACTATTAAACATAATTAATAAATTACACAGTAAAAAGTTGAATGATTATGGAGAATTTATAACACAACACATTTCATTGTCAATACATTAAAAATGTTACGTCTTAATAATGTTGTACAAGTTGGAATAAAAATGTGAAATAATATAGCACAGTATAAAATGGTGCCATTGTTAACAAATAAATTAATCTTTTTATATATTTTTATTTGTGTATAAAATAATTATAGTAACAAATATAAGATAAAAAATCTTTTAAATTTGGAGTGTTTCATTATAAATTTATAAATCCAAATTCTTTTATTTATTACATTTTTTTATTGTTGAAGTGTAATAGAATACATTTTTTATACAAAATAATTGTATAATCTAATCAATGCGTTGATATAGATATATATATCCTAATTCTTTTGGTGGATTTTCGGATAAAGCAACCTATAATAAACGATTCGTATAAGTACTATTACGATCTTTTAACTTATTTTATAGTTGTAATACATACTTTATCGTCATTGTATATCACCCATCGATCATCTTTCAAAAGATGGCATACATAATGTCCTACCATTATTGACGTGCCCATATGTGATATAAATCCTACTAACTTATAGTCTAAAATATAACAATACAAATAATTAGTTATAAAATATCTAGAATACTCCTACATACCACTAAAAATACAAATAAAGAACTAACGTTGAATTCCATCTCTAAATTCTTCCTTGGAATGTTCTGATTCATCTTCAACTTCTAAAGCATCCAATTCATTTTGATGACTAAAAATCCAATCTGCTGCGCGCTCTAAATTGTTATCAGTTGCTTTAAGAGCTTTTGTTGCTTGTTCCCTTGTGAAACTCATTCCCATTAGCATAGCCACTGCATCTTCATTAGCCATAAATTTATCCTTTTCTAAAATAAAATAAACGCAGAAGATAAATACAAATGTTATTAAATTCTTATAGAATAGTTTATGAAGAGTTTACAAAAATTCAGCTACCTGGTTTGATATCAATTCCAGGAGGTACAAAGGGATCTGCAAAATCTGAATCTGCAATGTGTTCCATTAACCAGTTTGTGGCTGCTTCTAAGCTACGATTCTCTGTAAAATAGAGAGCTCTTTCACAAGCTTCGGGTGGAAATCCCATATCTGTCAACTGATTCAATAACACAGAATCATATACAAGTGGTGGAGGTTCGGTACCAACTGTTTCTGGTAATAATTCTTCTGTGGGCTGTAGACCAAATCCTCGAAGAGAATTTAAGTTTAATATATCTGGCATTTCAACTGCTACATCTAATTTAGCTGGTGTCCAATCTTCTTTCATCATGAATTTTTTTAGATGAATTAATAGATAATCCGGAAAAGTAGCGAGTCTAGTCGTTCTATAAAAAGGTACACTTATTAATTCTACACTGTATGCATATATACATTGTAACTTACTTTTGTGCTGTGGTTTTCTCATTCAAAGCAGAACTATAAAATTGCTCTACTGTTTCTGACCGAATAAATGTTTGCAAGCAAGATGATAATTTTATGCGAGGTCTAACAAGAGTATTCGAATCTAATTTTTGTCCTTTTGCTTCAGTTTCATTCTTTAACGCCTCGTATGCTGCGACTTCATCCTATATATAATATGCATAAATGTAAGTTTTTTAATTAAAATTTATAAAGTATATAAATCATTTACCTTATTTATGGCAGTTTCTACAGGTATTGGAAGCGGTAATAAATATTCTGTACGATACGTGTATTTTACTTTATTAGAGCGACTGCACTGATACCTTTCTTCAACTTGAAATTTAAAACAATCAGTGGGATTCATTCTATGACGGCTGTGACGCTGTTTGATCAATTTTCATAATATTAATGCCCTATCTTAGTATGAAAAATTAAGTATAAACAAAATGAATATAAATATAATATAATTACATTTATGATATTTATGACGTGAAGAAAGAATTCTTGCGCATCTTGTTGTTGATTCGAAGAAAATCCGGAATGTCCGCGACCAACTAACGTTTTAAACATCCGTGGTGGAATACCCTGACGTGATTCGTGTTCATTGTTCGTATCTGATGAAATTGAATATTTTCCCGAGAGTAAACCAATCCCAAGTTTAGCCCTGTAAAACCAATCTCTTATATCTTAAAACCATTTGCATGTTATAGTTTTGCTATCTTAAACTTACATTTGAACATTAAAGTCATTTGCTGGATCAATGTAACTCTGTTGAAATATTTGTGGTGCAGCATCTACATATCTGAAATTCGTTTCTAATTATTAAGCACTAATTTCATTATAAAGGAGAATATAATGTTTAATTAAAAATATATTGATCTAATAATTATTACACTAAATTTTTTCAATTGATTAAATTCCTTTTCTATGTAACATAAATAACTTCATAAACTATTATTTACTTACTTGTAATCAAGTTACAAACCTTATGATAAAATCTGGAATCACAAACAACATTTGCATCACGCTATTTAAGTAACAAGAACTTCCTAAGTTAGCAAGTCCGGTATAACCAGGTCCATACAAAGGTGTTAATTTGCTTGCTGCTTCTTGAAGTGCAACCCATTCACCAAATCTCTGATTAAGATCTAATTCAAGTTCTATCATAGATTTATCAGTTTTCTCCATTTGGGCAACATTAATACCCCAATGAGCTAAATGTGATATTAAATTTGGATCCTCAACCATATCATCTTCATCATATGAAAATACATCTGCTTTTCCTTCTTTAGTGATAGTTCCTAATTTAACTGCTAAAGAGTAACCAGTAGCTTTATAATGTTCAACTGCATGATCATTTCCTCCTGTTCCGTCATAAAATTTACGTCCACAAAGAATGCTACCATCAACTAGGTTAAGCCACAAATTTTGAGTTAAATCACATTTTTCACATTTCCATCCACTAGGAGGTATCTTTTTCCCATTATCTAATTGTTTAAGATTTACTGCATGTCTACAAATTTGATAAATATATAAAATGATAATAAAGAAAAATCTTATATTTTAGTTCTTATTCTTACTTTGAAATTGCTTTTACTTCTCCATCCCAAGTTCCAGCCAATGCTTCTACTTCTGCTATTTTTGTTGCAGATTCTGCTTCTAATATACATTTAATTGCAACTTCCACCTATACAAATTTTCTATGTAATTTGTAGTTGCTTTCATTTTTTTTACTTCTTTTTATGTAGAACTTACTTCTTGGGGTAAATTATCTGTTGGATATGGTATCGTAATAAAATCTGGTAGAATAATAATTTGATACGTTTCATGGTAAGTATATTTTTGTTGATCTGGTGTAAATCCATCTGCTGTTCCTATTGCTAATCTAGTAATTTTCTTTTCAGGACCATCTCCTTGATGTTTAGAAGGAATCTATAAATAATAATATTTTATATTAAATAATTTATATTTTGTGTTGACATATTTTTCTGATATTTATTTTAAAATTTAATAAAAAATTCACCTCTTTTCTTCTTCTTTTAATGTGTAAAAACACAGGATTCTGTGTTAGTTGATAATAATGTTGTATATAATCATGACCTAATCCCAAGAACGTAGTAAGATTAACGTACAAACCAGTTGAAATATCCTTAAAAGAAAAAACAATGAAAATAATTATATTATTATTATATTATCATTTTTAATTGTAAAATCGACATGACATCGTACTGGAGTATCGAAAGAATAAACACACTCCTCCTTGTGTATTTTATCATTTTTCTGCGGTATCCTTATTTTAGATAAATGTTTCATCAATTCCTCCATTGTGAACAAAATGTAATCACTACAAAAAAACGTAAATGTCCGAATAAATTGAAAATAACCGATTTAAAGATCACCGGTTTGTCGTATTGATGATATGCGTGATTTAAGAAATGAGACGAAGGAACCGGAATATATTCGACTCTTCTCGTTTCTCTTTAAACTCCAGTGGTGCTCAATGACAATCACGTTATTTCATATTTCAATTCAGTGCATTTTGTTCAAGTGAATCGTACTAATTAAAAGAATACTATGAAAGAAAAAAACATTTCAGTTTGTAGTTTTTGATTAAGTAATTGAAAATATATGAAATATATCTATGATCTTTAATTTTTATATATCCAAACTTAGGTCGTAGAAATGTACCGAATAGAACAAGGCTTGTTATTTCGTTGAATAGTTGTTTGAGCAGACAGTACACAAATGTTATATACATATGTGATGATTCATACTATCATTAACCTAAAATAAAGTTTATATTTTACTTACTGAAAAATGATCATGTAAATATTATTGATAAAAAATATTTATTTAAATTATACGTATCATTTATTATATGTCTTTAATATAACTTGTATTTACTTCTGCAACAATGGAAAAAGAAAGGTAATTTAGTTTCTTTTTCTTAAATATATACTCTAATTTATAGAAATATAATTAATCTTTAATTAATGCATTTTAATAGATATGTATCAACATACTATAATTTAATTATTATTAAAAAATATTTAATAAATTACATAATAACTTATTGTGTATTATAAATTAGTATATTTTCTTTGTATCAGGTTTACCATGCTTCTTTTAGAACCAGGAGAAATATTTTTTGAAGATTATAGTGTTCAAATGAAAATATTTGATATTCCTACTTCAGAAGAACAAAAATGGAAAGATGGAAGATTAAAATTATGTTCAAAATCTTTAGTATTTGTAAATAAAGATATTAATCAACCTTTAATTAAAATTCAACTCAAAGAAATTATAGCTATTGATCAATATCAATCCAACAATGATACAACAAAGTTAGTATTTCTGATCTTTAACATATAATAATTCCTTTGTATTAATAATTTTTATTTTATTCATAAGATGTGGCAATACATTGTTGGTTCAATGTAAACAGTATGTGAAGATGTTAGAAAAAAATATACTTGCGCCATATAAATTCATACATGAAAATGTTACTTTTCACATCTATTTTAATTATGCAAAGATAGATGATTGTCTTCCACAAATTCTGCAATTATTCAGAGCAGCTACTTTACCAACTGCTGAACAAAATGCTATGGTATTTTTGAAAATTATTAATCATATTATTATAGTAAAATATAAATTTATTAAATTATTCTTTTTATATAGATTATGGCTATTGTGCATTCTCGACAATCTAGAGTATCATTTGATACATCATGGTTAGAAGATTTATATGAACAAGTGGTATTAGAAACTCAAGCCAGTAAAGTGTTGCCTCTTGTTATAAATCCAGGAAGGATACTTTTAACAAATTCAAGAATTTACTTTCAACCTTATAATAATTTAGATCAAGTATGTATTTTCCAATGTCAAGAGGAAATGATTTTTATTCACAATATTAAGAAAAATTTTATGATTTTAGCATCCTGTTTTAAAAATACAACTGAAAGATATTATTAACATTATTAAAAGACGATTTCTTTTAAGCCAAATTGTAAGTGTAATCTTTTATATTAGAGTGTTATTATTGCAATTTAATACATATTAATTCTTCTAAAAATAGGGGCTTGAAATTAAGTGGCTACGGCAACCAGAAAATAAGGTTGAATATTTATTTATATCATTAAAAAGTCAAAGTGACAGGGATGAATTATACACAAATTTATTAAATCAACCTACAATGTCTTTAGAAAAAGTACCACAAGATCAAATGACTATGAGATGGCAAAATGGTTCTTTGTCAAACTATGATTATCTTTTATATATTAATAGGTAATTTTTATATCAATAGATAATTTAAATATTGAATTATTGTGATATATTTTAAATTAAATACTATTTTCCAGTTTGGCAGATAGAACTTTCCATGATTTAACTCAATATCCAGTTATGCCTTGGGTTTTACAAGATTATACATCTACTACACTGGATTTAAATGATCCTGGTATTTATAGAGATCTTACAAAACCTATTGGAGCCCTTGAACAAGACCGATTAGAAAGATTAGAGGTGAATTTCTTTCCTAATATGTGATTTGTATTTGCAATAAATTAGGCAATGTCATTATGTTTCAGGAACGATATTTAGAAATGTCAGAACCAAAATTTTTGTATGGCTCTCATTATAGTGCCCCAGGATTTGTATTATTTTATTTAGTACGAAAGTATCCTCAGTACATGCTTTGTCTACAAAATGGAAGATTTGATCATCCAGATAGAATGTTTAATAGGTATGTACTTTTTATAAAAAAAATATGCGACTATGATTCTTGAAAAATATTGAATTCATAAATGTTAAAGAAACATATGTGTGTATACAGTTTAGTAATGATAATAAGTATATATATGAATAAAATTTTTAATCGCACAGACAAGGCAAAATTTTATGGTAATTGCTTTTTATACTGTAAAAGTACATAATTGCTCTGTCGACTCTGCAGAATCGATTTTTTGTTTCACTCTTACCAACAAAAACACCTAACAGTGTAGCTGACGTATGGAAAAATGTTTTGGTGAACATGTCTGACTTTAAAGAACTGATCCCGGAATTTTATGACACAAACAATGGTGGTGATTTTTTAGTAAATAGTTACGGTATTGATTTTGGTTATCGACATGATGGAACAAAAATAGGAGACGTGCAATTACCACCATGGGCAAATGGTATATGATTTGTAACTCGTAAATAGTAATTATGTAAAGTTTAATACAAATTAATTACTAAATTTTAGGACCAGCTCATTTTGTACAAGTATTAAGAAATGCTTTAGAAAGTGATTATGTTTCTCAAAATCTTCATCATTGGATTGATTTAATTTTTGGATATAAACAGAGGGGAAGTGAAGCAGAAAAAGCTAATAATGGTAAATTATTACTTGTGTGAAAATTGATCCATAAATTTAATCCATGTTATGTTATATTCCAGTATTTTTCCATTTATGCTATGAAGGAGCAGTAGACTTAGATACTATTCAGGATATTAATGATAGGCATGGTTTAGAGATACAAATCATGGAATTTGGTCAAATACCAAAACAAATATTTACTTTACCACATCCAAAACGTTCTGCGTTTATTTTGGATAAATTGTATACTGAAATTGTTTCAACGTCATTTAAAAGCGGAATAGGTATGTGATATATTAACTTACAAATTAAATTTCAATAAAATGCAAATGTATCATGAGTGACAAAGAAATAATTTTTCCAAAAAAACAAAGAGAATCCTGCAGAGACTTTTGAACTACATGAATTAATAATGTTTCAATCTCATAAAGAAAGTGTAAGTAGCATTATTATAACGAATAAAGAAGAAATTAATGAAATAATATCGGTTGGACAAGATGGAATGCTTAAACTATATAGTATAAAAAATAAAAAATTAATGCGTAATGTATCTTTGTCATCATTACCACTTTCCTCTTGCATATCATACTACACATCTTCTCGTCGCAATATATTAGTTGCTGGATCTTGGGACAATTCACTGTAAGCAAGTTAAATAAATACTTTATGTGTATATATTTTGTTTTCTTATTGATTAATTTTTTTTACAGAATATTTTATGACATTGAGTTTGGCAGAGTAATAGATATATTACAAGGACATGAAGATGCTGTTTCTTGTTTAGCATTAAGTTCTACCCGTCAAATTATTATTTCTGGTTCATGGGATTGTACAGCAAAAGTTTGGAAAAGTTATTCTTCTGGAACGAAAATTAAACCAGCTGAGTGCCTTATTGTACAACTAGATCATGATTCTAAAGTAACTTGCATCAGTATATCAAAGTAAAATTGTTTCTTATATTTTAATTATGTAAATTATGTGTTCAATATTATACTTATAAATTTTTATTGTTAAAATATTTACAGAGACGAAACATTATTAGTATCTGGTACAGAAGATGGAGAAATTTTTTTGTGGAATATGGATACATATAATTTACAGTTTACTGCAAAAGGTATACTTTAAAATAGCTATTTTCTGAATTACATTTTTAATATAATTGTTTTGTTCTTTATAGCTCATACTTGTAAAATTAATGCAATGGTATTTGATCAAGAAGGGAAAAGCATAATATCATGTGCAGAAGATAAAGTACTAAATATAATTGATGTTTATACAAGTACACAGATTTATCGTACTACTTTAGAGCATGTACCTCTAACACTAACATGGTTCAAAACCTTTTTATTAGTAGGAGATAGCAATGGTAATATTAATGTCTGGAACCGCCATGGTGCAATTTTTATTACACAAATACATTGCCATGATGGTACAGTATTTCATATAATAATATATTAATTACTAGTTTTACATTATGATATTTAATTCTTAAATATTTGACCCAAATTTCGTTTTATTTATGAATACAAAAATTTTAGGGCCAATTAATACATTATCAGTATCAACAGAAAATAGTATAGTTTTAACTGGTGGAAGAGATAAGAAGATAATTGTATGGGATTGTAAAAATGTATGATTCATATAATATTTACAGTGTGACTAAAAAACTTCTTTTGGTTATAAATATTACTTTCAATTTATGGTAAAACTTTCTAACATAGCAAATATAACAATAGCAGTAAAGTTGTATTTAACACGTACATGCTGTATTTATTTAAACTTGTTATAATATTCGTTTAATAGTTTAACATTTGTTATATATTTAGTATATTTTATATCATACCGTTATGTATTCCTAACGATTTATAAAAAGTCTCAAATATAAACATTACATAGATTTAAAATATTGTTTCTTTTAATATATGCTTTCTCGTTAAATTGATTTTACAACAAATTTTTATGCATGAATTTATGTATAATGATATGTAGCATTTAGTTTTTATTAGTTCTTTTGATATGTTGCATAAATATTAACACTCAGTCTTAGTTTGTCATGAAAAGTGTAAATCTAAATAGAAAAAAACATCAAATTAGTGTAATTTAGAATTATATTTAAATTTATAAAAGTGAATAACATCTATAAATCTATAAAATAAGAATACAATGTGCGTCATAAGTTATGGATTGAGTATGTAATTATTCACATTTTTTTAAGCAAATATTTAATAATTCTTTGCTATGAATACTTTTATTAATGATTGTAATTTCAATACCACTAAGGAAAATAAATTCTATTTATTTTTGGTATACTTTCTGTAGTTTCTTTCATATGTATCTAAATAAATATTTTAATATTCATAAAAATAAATTATATAATACAAATATTAATTACATCCTGTTGTTACTACCATTGATTTATCACATATTTATACATACATACTTGGTTATTTTATCTACTTTCTTCCATTTACTACTATTCATTTTTTTCTTCCAATATATTATTTAATAATATATTTGAATCACCTAGTTGTTTCAATTGTTCATATGTGATGAAAAATATGATATTCCATGGTCCCATTCTAAACCAAGTAGGTACAAAACCTTTATATAAAGCTAAAAATCCTTCATTCTTAAAAGTCTAAAAAAGTAATAAGACTTATATAACCTTGTTCAGAAAGATACGAGATATATATTTAATATTTAATAGTATATACCTGGAGAAAGCAATCTATGCTACCATTATAAATATGAGGTGGTAACAGACCACCTGTAGTACGTATCCTCCTCTGATTCATTAAACGTGTCTACAATGGTAGATACGTAAGTAAAGTAAAAAATTGCAAACAATCATTTCATTAACAATACTTACACGAACAACATCTATAGGAGTGGAGGCTATTGCACTTCCCATACTAGCTATAAAACTGGACCTGAAATATGTAATTATATGTATATATATGTGTACATGTACATATTTAATATCAATTTTGAAGACCTATTTAATTGTACTGAATTAATGCAACCCTTATCCAGGCACTGTAAACTGCAATATACACTGTGATGTCTGTAATGTTATGTATAATAATTCGTATAAAAAGACCTATATAGTACATTTTAGAAATAAAAATAAGTATGTAGTATAAATAAAAATGAAACTAAGTATTAAATTTATAATTTAAAAATTGCAAATAAATCTACATAAAATGCTAATTAAAATAATTTATGATATAATTCAAGATGATTAATAATCTGGATAACAGTTTTAATCATTTATATAACAAAATATATTAAACATAACTTCCATTTTCATTGTCTATGGTCATCTTAATATCCACGTACTGCACGTGCCCATGTGCACCACAGTGTGACAGAACCTGGAAATAAAATTTTTCACTTTTAGAAAAATGTTACTTCCTTTCTAAACAAGTATAAAACCATTTACAGTATTAATATTGTTGGGCACAAATTGTTTGATTTATTTAACTCATTACTTGCTACTTTTAAAACAAATCAGATTTTTATTTCGTAATTATCAGAAAGTTTTTAAAATTTATACAATGTAATAAGTAATTTTGATGTTAAAAATATTAAAATATCATTGAAAAAATAAAAAATAAAATTAAAATATAAATTTGTGTTTAGATATACTCACATGACATCACGTACTATAAAAGAGCACATGAAATTTGCTTGCTTTACAAATATTATTGAACATTTGTTAGTAGCATAATAATATGATAAATGTGTTACATGATACATAAAAATAGCCCGGATAAGGGTTAATTTATTATTTCAATACTGAGATTAAAAAGAAGTCTCCCATACAATTTAAATTTTTTTTTAAATAAACCATCTTCAATATAACAAATAAAATGTTTTTCTTTATATCACAAAGGGATAAAATAGAATTAAATAAAATATATATAAATACAATTTACTTACATAAAATGATTACTAACACTATCTCCAAATAAAATCATAAATTTCTTTTTGCTATAATCATATATAGGTAATTCTACAGCTGCAATAATTGCTGCCCTTTGGGCTGTAGGTCCTACACCCTAAATATAAAATTTTTAATATAAAATTATTTTATTATAAGCACAAACAAAATAAAATGCATACAAAAATATTGTTAGAGCTTTTATACCCTTACATCACTTTACATACCCTCCATAAACCACAAACACCTTCATGTTGATATACATCTTGAAAACAACCAAACAATGATAAATTTGAATTAATTCCAGTTACTTGCATACGAACTTTTATTACATCAGTAGGATTAGCTATAGCACTTGAGACAGCACCTGCTAATGCAGCACATATAACATTTATAACCACTAAATCATCTGTTTCCCACTTATCCATAGCTGCTTTTTTTAAAGAATAGTAAGTACCAAATTTTATGGTTCCGTAAGTAGCTTGTCTTAATATAGCTGAACTAATTCTATGCAGTGAAAAGATTGATAATAATAATTTTATTTTATTAATGCAGTTAAAGATTCAATTAACGAATATTATTTAACTAAAGCTTACCCAGAATATAGAGCTTTAAAACCTTCTTGTTGTGATATTTTAAACAAAGCATCAATCATACCAGAATATTTTAAGTGTGTATATCTTTGATCTAATTTCTGTCCTTGAATTTGAAGACGTGTTTTTGTTGTATCCAAAGGAAAAGTTCCTAAAATACAATTAATAAATATATTCATAAAAATAATAGTTAATATTACACAAGTAAATTTTTACAATGAAATTTTTGTAATATAATATAACGTACCTAATTCAGCAACAATTGAAGCTAAACCTCCATAAATAAAAGGTTTCCAATCTTTCCACTGACTCTCTCCCATTACAACGATAGACACCTTATAATTAATGAATATAAATTACAATAAATTACATTAACACAATAAATTTAGTTTGTAAATTTTACAATAACATTAACAATGTTATCATAATAGCATTAATACTGTTAATACTATTTGTGAAGTGTTTAAGGTAATGAAATAAATAAATTTCAATTAGGTTAACTAAATTCAAATTACTTTGAACGACATTTGAACATCAAATTTAAAAAAATATGAATAGACAAAACGTAATACATGAATAATTCTTTATTCAACTAGTACCAAATTGTTTATTAATTTTAATATTGATATTTTTCTTAGTTGAAATCATTATTACCGGTGATAAGAGACAATATAATTTGTAAGTATATTACGAATTTTACGTAGAAATAATATTTAATAACAACGATGAATTGTTATGCCAATGCTTTTATTTATGCTTTTATTTATTTTAATTATATTAAACTTAACAGACAAAATGACATAAGTATCATTTTTCGAAAGTGTTCACAAATTTTGTAAATTAAAGTTGAAAGCTACAACCAATCAATGTGAATTTACTGAAGATATAGACATATAGTCAAGAATAAAACTAATAGTACAACTAATTTTTAATAGTATAACTACAAATAAATCGAAAAAAGAAAACATAATAGTTGGTTAATTCTATAACAAATAATAATTATTAGGTCAATTAATAATTTTAATATATTTTTGGCATTAAATTATCACAAATTGCATAATAAAGAGGAATAATGAAATGTATATTAACAACTATATTTATCAAAACAAGAATATTAACATATTCATAATTTTATAAAATATTTATTTCAATACTTGGTTGACTATTCCTAATACAATGTTCGATATATAAAATATATAAGAAGTATACATTATATACAATAATACATTTTTCATATTAGAAAATTGTTTTATTACATTTCTCATCTTTCACATAATAGAGTACGAATTTTACTCATTAAAAAAGTTTATTATAATTTTGCGTTTGTAATCTAATTTGCCATTTAATGTTTTCTACCAGTAATAAGTAATTGAATAATAAACAAATGAATCTTATTAAATGTAAGGAATTCCCCGGAAGTCTCACATACCAACATCATAAAAATTTAATTTTAGTTTATAGGGAAAAGTAAGGTTGTTAATTGTGTCACATTTTTGTTTCAATAAAACTAATAATATATATTTTATTGTTTTTTTCTTATTATACAATTAATAAAAATGCAATGCATATAATGTATTATTCTCATCCAATTTAAAACTAATTGTGCCAAAACTTTCATTTGTGACTGTAACATAAATTAAAAATATTAATGTTTTTTATGATTACATGGATAAATAAACCTTTCCAGTATATAAAATTTATAATTATAGTTTTATTATGAAGATCACAATATATGTGTCTTATATATAAGAAAAATATAATAGAAATTAATATAATAGAAATTAAATTTACAATGAAATTAAATTTTTTGTATTGTATTAACAAAATTTTATTAAGAAAAATGTACATATTTATAATATGTATAAAATACATATATAAAATATAAAAATGTATAAAAAGTTCAATATAATTAAAAAAATGAGATTTATACATTAAGTACTATTAATTTGAAAATAAAAAATATTTAGTTTAATACATGCTTGTTTACAATACATTGTGTATTTTATGTATTTTTTTATACAATCAAGTATATACAAAAATATTTATCTATAATACAAATAAATCTTTTACTGAATGAAAGCTGCAGGAAGAATATGTCATAAACATATATAAAGCACCAGCTCAATCAACTCGAACTGGAATTCTTGCATGTACTGTTGTACTATTTTGATAAACATATACTTGCATAAAAATTGCAATATCTATTATAACTTGAAGAATACCACAAACTTCAAATTGAATTGGAGCTTCTCTTATAACAAAATAACATGTTTTAAATGTATCACCTAATATCCACAGTGTAACCATTACAATACTAAAATTACAGAAAAGGTATTTGAAGAGTATTATTCAAATGATTACATTTTATATTGAAAGTAATTTCATACCTCATTCCATTAGTAGATTTATTTAAGAAGTTATGCAGAAATTGTGGTATTCCAAGCATAGCTTCTGTTAATAGTGCAAGTAATCCTACAGTTTCAACAAATATTGGTACATCCACTAATAGATATGTTAGAATCCCTATTAATGCTACAAATAGTAGCATAAAATCTAAATAAGATTGAAAGTCTGTCCATCTCCAAAAAAATCTTGCATCAAAATCTGTTTAAATTAAGTTCAAGACACATCATAATAAATATTAATAATTTCTATTTTTATTTGTACTTACCTGAAAATACATGTTCTTTTACTTTTATTATTTGATTTCTATTTTGTATATTTATACACAATTTAATCATTATGAACATAGTAATGATCATAAATATACTTTGTAATAAAAGAGGTACTTCATAATGTTTTCCAAACCTGTAAAATATATACATTATTTGTATCATTGTTGTATGATACAATGAAAGTATGTGAAGTACTTATGTAAAGCAGATGTACAAACCAAAAAAAAATACGTAATACATTAGCTATTAAAAGTGTAAGGCATACATAAAGGGAAAATCCTTCTGCACTATTTCTTTTTTTAATTTCTCGATATTGCGGTACATATGGAATAATGCCACCAAATATTATTGCTCCAGAAACAACCCAATTTGCTATATCCTTTATAGATAACTGTTCATAAATATTATACATTGTAATAGTTCTCTTTGATCTACATAATATTTCACTATCTACGAGTCTTTGTATATAATCAATTTTAGGTTATAGTTCCAATCTTTTTGGACATCATGTCAGTAATGAATCATTCAAATTAAATAAACCTATGATAGTAAGAAAAATTAATAAATCGGGCAAATACATATTACTTGGAAAACAATAACATATACATACCTAGTATTGTGACTATTTTGTTCAGCATTTACTCTTATTAAAAATAAACATATTAAGAAATCCATATGTATGGATCCAAAATTTCTTCTTGTAAGTATTGACAAATTAAAAATTGATATAAAGTTTAGTTACCAATTGTAGGTAACAAAATTTCAATACATGTAATAATAAACAAAATGTAGTCATAGATGAAATATACAATAGATTTCCCATGCAAAATTTATCTTATTGCACGATATCCTTGGTCATCTGACTTCTTTATCATTTTTGTGTCACATGCGACGTTATCGATTCAGTATTGAAAAATACTATAGAAATGATGTGCGATTACATACTATAGTATTTAATAATTGAACAATTAATGTCATCGAAGTAGTTTTTTAAAATTCGTCTTCAGTAGTATATTTCACTTATTAGTGCATGTACAAACTATCCCCTGAATACATGTAATGCTACCTTCTCCACTCTTTCGTTTCTTTTCCATAATGTTCTTGTCTCTATTATTTCTTTTCCTTGCATTTTTGTAACTCTTTTTCTTCAAACGTAGGGAAGAAGAGTTGAAGAGTTCTAGAGGTAAATGTTAATAATTGTTACATAAAGGTTCTTTCCAAGCGGTTATGAAAAATCGAAACAATATTGTAACTGTTATGAAAAAATATTTTTATCTATATTAATCTCGGTTATGACTGTAGTAACTTCTGAAGTATAGATTCATCTTGATTCTATTTTGGTTTTTCAGCAATTATAATTACAATTGTAATACATGGATATACACGTATTCTCATGTACATACATATATTTCCAATTTTTAAATTAATTCCCTTGTTTTTACAGTATTAATAATATATGCATATACAATTTTGTATAAAAAAAGCGAAGATTTCTATTATCCTTTTTAAATAGAATTATTAGATAAAATATAATTATGCTCGCGTTTATCAGCACACGACTAATCAAAAGATCCCTTTAACTGCATAATCATTTTCATAGATTCGATAATTCTATGCTTTCATAAGTTGTTCGCCAGACACAACCTTAAATTTTCGAACTATTGTCTATTATTGATATTATAATGTCTATTTTTAATGTCCAGTTGAAGTATTTGAATCTGGATAATGGGTCTGTACTTTGGATGTATAAATGTATTTTTTGTCAGACTTTCTGGGGCGGTTCATTATTGGTTCATATTCTACAAAATAAAAGCTCAGCATGCTCGTCTCTTAAGCATCATCGCAGAGGCTTGACTCTGTGAACATCATCTGTTATAGAATATTAATATGATATAATTGCAAACAATATTAAAGAAATTTTATTTATAGTTAAGAAAAACATTTCAAATTCTAGTCATAAACTATGTAGTCATATTATGTGTATTATATGAAGCACAGGATTACATTGTTGCTTAGTAACCCATAGTAACAACTTATGCATACACACATACTATATATGTATATACATATATATGTATGCACCTCACAGTGTTTTTCGAGTTATTAGTAAATTATAAATTCTTATTAGTGTTATTTTATTGATTGTTTATAATTCTTAAAGCATTTTTGAAATTGATATAGTGTAAAATAAAATTCAAAATAAACAAGTCAAAACATTATAGTTATCAAGAAATGACAAGATGTACTAAGAGTGAAGTTAATCTTAAAAGCACTGGTATGAGGAATATATTCTTTTATTATTCCATATCTCTCGATTTGATTATGATATCGATATTTTAAATTATTTGACATGCCATGCATTTTTCGAAATTTTCTTTTGTAACCTGTAAATTTATATCAAATAGCATACAACCAAAATGGACAAAACTATTTTGAACAATTAACAGCATATAATTCTATGAGCGCGCACTTACGACGAATTTTATTAGCGAAATGTGTCGTTGATGCTAGAAATAAAACCTACATGCGCAAAAAAAAGCAAATATGTAAAGAAATAGTTTGGAAACCAAGATTTGCAAAAACAGAGATTACAAATAATATAATTGATAAATTGGCATATGATACTTCGTATCATCCAGTGGTAAATTATTCATATAGTTATATATGCATATTTGCTAAAAATTTTGTATCAGATAGTACATAAGAACAAAACTATAAATTCAAATTGTTTCTTTGATTAATTAACAGGATTTTTTAAAAATGAATTGTGACTTAAACTATTTCTGTCAATGTGAAACTCACAAATTGTTTACTACTTGTTACAATTATGATGTGATTTGTTCGCGGCCAAAATTGCACGATCATGTAGTTTGTCCAAATTTTCCAATGTCTAAAACAAACGATTCAGAGCAAGCAATATTAAATAGTAAAGATATAGAGCAACAATCAGATACTCAATCAATTGCTAATCATAAAAAGCTGTTTAATCCTTCGAGTGTAAAAACTACATTCAAAATTCAAAATAGGTAAGACAACATTTTACGATAGGAAAATTATGATTTAAATTCATTTAAATTATAGGTATTTATTACTTACGATTATGTTAATAACTTATATTAATATAAAAATATACGCAGACACGAAGGAAATTCGATATTTTATGAATCTGGTTCCGATTTTTTATCACAAAACAATCAGCTTTCGTCAGAAGTTAGCACGTCAAGAAGTAGCAGAAATTATGAAACAACACAAGGCCGCAGTAATTTGGTTGATAATCAGAAATTACACATAATAGACGAAGAAGCGAAATATGCAAAATTTATGTACGAAATTACACACGAAATAGTACTCAATGGTCTGTACACTGATGAAGAATTGCAAGAAGTATTCAAAAAACACATTGAAAAAAACAAAACAGTTCTAGATATGGTCAGACCATAATTTTCTATCATTTAAATTTAAAAGATAAGATTAAATACTTCAAATAACAAATTTTATGTTCCCAAATAGAATCGAATGATGTATGAAATTTATCAATTAAAACTTACTTTAAATATAACAAATAATTCAGAGGATGAAGAATTAGAAGATCTTGTGTATATTCAGCAGTTACGAATTTCTAATTTTCGACCACCGACACCACCAAAAGTTTTAAATGAAGATAAAATAACTGAAAAATTATCATCGTACAAAAAACTAGACGAAATAAAGCGCGATTCGTTAAGGAAAAATCATAAATCGGTTGTATTAATTGATGCTAATCCCGAATTACGTGTAACAGAAAGGGATGTTCTAACATCGTTAATAGAAGCTGATATTAATCCTGAGCAAGCAGAAAAAATTTATAGAAAACTTTCTTATAGAAGCAAAGATATTATTTCATTGGTTTGTTTAATAAATTAATTGTAATACATATTTTGTAATATGTAAGATACAAAATATAACATTCTATTATTATTAATATGAATATTTTTTTAGGATGATACGAAAATAGACGGAATAAGCGATGAATATGAAGCGAAAGAAAATGATCGGTTAAACTTCAATTCAACAGAATCATATAATGTACACAAAGCAGATGAAAGAAAAGTAAGTTCTATAACTGATAACGCACAAGTGTAAATAATAGTAGTTATATAATGTTAAATTACGAGAATGAGTACAAATTTTCAAAATATGTAAATTAAAATTTATATTTGCTTTTTCTTATAAAAGATACTGTCAAAAAAAATATTTTTATGTTATTTCTCCATTTTTTATTATTAAAAACAAGTATTACATCATTATTTTCACCCTGACAATTTTTCTACATTATTATTTTCATTTGTATAATTTGAACAAAAATAAAATAATAAAAATATATGTTACAGATATACATACATAATTACAGAGAGAGTGAAAGAGAGCGAGCGAGCGAGAGAGAGAGAGAGAGAGAGAGAGAGAGAGAGAGAGAGAGAGAGAGAGAGAGAGAGAGAGAGAGAGAGAGAGCGTATATTTATGCTGTTTCATGTTTAATCTGGATGATGTATACATGCATCATAAATATAAACATATGTTTATACATTTTTTACAATACAAATGTCATTATATTTAATGCACATATTGTATATTATACTTTAAATATAAAGTTAAAACAATCACTTTTCATTATTCCTGTTAGACGTTTTTCTTATTCATATATAAGAGTAAATATGCAAATGCACTTTGTACACAAATTACTTCGTTCTCGCTTATAACAAATTTATACATGAATAATTTATTTATCATATGTATTCTAAGTAATAGGTACCGAAAAAATACATTTAAAAATAAGTAAACAATATTTGGTTAAGTTCTCCATTAAAAAATATAATCATTATTTTATATAACTAATATAAAACTCATCCTCAATCCAAAAGAATAGTAAAAAGGAAGTCTAAAGTAAATGTAATTAAATTAGGTATACTTTTTTGAAACTCAATATAATAGGACTATTATCTTGTAGTCAACAATTTCATTCTTCTTTACTTGATATTAAAATAAAAACGATCTAAGAGCCATTTAAATTACTTTTAAAGCATGTAAATAATATTACGAAATAAAGCATGTAAAAATATGCTATAATAGCAGTTACTCAATTATAAAAAAGAACAATTAGCAAGTTTTATAAAAATCATATCTCTATCAGTTACGATATATTACGAAAACGTAAAGAAAAAATTTGTTCTTTTATCAATTACCATCAGAAGCATTTGAAGAAGAATCTTCAAGTTCTGGAGGATTAGGACTTTCATTTAAAAATACTTAAAAGATCTGTGACATGCCTTATAGTAAAATCTGGTTGTGGATCTTCCCTTAATAAGGGTCGCTTATCCAATGTTGGAATCCAAATAGTCCCTCCTAAACCAGCTTCTATTCCACCTAGATAAAAATAACAATTTGTTAAACTGTATCATTGTCCGCATAGTATTAATTTATTGATATGAAATCTTTAAATCAAATTAATCTACAATATTTGTATCTAATATTTTGTAATAATTTATAATAATTTGTAAATAATTAATATGATCGATAAAAAGAAATATAATAATAATATAGTACCTAGAATATCAGTTTCCAGTTTATCACCAACCATTACACAAGTATCTGGTTTAACATTTAGAAATCGACATGCTTTTCGAAATATTTCTCTCTCAGGCTTTTCCCACGGTAAATCTCCCGATACAAGAATAATATCAAAATATTGTTCGAGTGAAAGTTTTCGTATTTTTTCCCATTGTGCATTAGAAGGACCATTTGTAATCAAACCTAAGAGGTATTTTACTCTCAACTGTCGAAGCATGGAAACTACATCTGACGCCAGCGTCAAATAATAATATCGTAAATACAACCATCGTTCGTAAATTTTTTTTGCTAGATATGAGTACTTTTCTCCAAGTGCTTTACTCCATAAAGTTATACGCCAAGCATCCAAAGTATGTGTTACATTGTCAGGACATCTTCTAAAGAGCTTCAAATATGTTGTTGTAATCTTCACAGATAGATCTGCAGGAATACCATATTCTTGTACTAGTTCCTCAGCCAACTGCAGATAAAGTTAGAATATCATCTATTAGATATCTTTTTACTTCATAATTTTTAACTCAAGCAGTATTATAAAATATTGAACAATATATAAAGTACACACTAAGGAAAAATGATTGATTTCCACATTCAACATAATCTATTATAAGGTGGTTTAATATTTAAAAAAAATAATAAATATTAAAAATAAAAACTATTACAAGGAATAACAGACTCATTGAAGTGAAAAAAATCACTTATTGAATGTGGATTTTATGGCTGAATCAAGCTCTTGGAAGAAAGGATACAAACGATCAGTTAGGAGTTTAGGTCACTTAATTCAGTTTTTGATGATTACCTAGAAAATGCATTGATTCATTGAAATACTCGAGCCGATTAGTGGACACTCGAAGTGGCATCCGCGGTCGTTGCTGTAATCACAACAAAATCAGTTGTGCCAACAACAAATTTATATTATTCCAACCCTAAAAGCTTTATTCAAATGATTTTTTGATGTTAACATTTATACTTATTACTGCAGATTTTATATGATGTATTAAATATAAGAGATAATTTACATATAATTTAAATAGTTTATCGAAGTAGTTCTTTTCAATTTTTTTATCCTAAGGTAGGTAATAATTTAAAAGATAAAATTCTTTAAAAAACAAGTTCCTTTAATAGAAAAACCATTTATTATTTTACAAAGCCATTTATTATACATAGACATATTTTTAAATATGTACATTCTCAAACCATATTAATTTCAAGCATTGTCAAAATTACATAAATTTTTTAACAATTTATGAGTTAATACAAAATGTAAAAATATTTTTTTCCTAACATATACTTCAATATTTAAGTTTGTGGAACTATTTATCTCATAGAAATATTTGCAAACTCTTTTGCCTGCCAGGAAGCTATTTTCAGACATGATTAACATCTAAATTTATATCTGATCTATGATTGTACACAGTTTTGCAAACAGTGTTCAAATATGTGTGCAAATATGTTCAAGTAATAAATTCTTGTTAAACATTTTTTTATATGCAATATAGCGTAATATAAAAACATGTATAACATGTATACACAAATAAACATATTAGTTAATAACATAAGAATAGACTAAATATCTTGGCTATTCTATCAGTGTACAAGTATATAGTATTTTCAGTTAAAACAGTAGAATATTAATACATATACTTTGAACTATTTTTAATCTCCAAAAAGATGTTTCCCAAGTTCCATCATACGATGATTTCTGCATACAGTTAAAGCTCCATGTTTCTTCAAAACTGAAGCAACATTTTCATCTGCTTTAACTAAATGGCACAAAAGATCCTCAAATGCAAACTTTACATTTGGCTGAAGACTTCCTATCTTTATTTTCTTCAGAATTTCAATAATTTCTTCAGCCCAACCTGATTCAAGAGTAAACTGTGAAAGCCAAGGTATAACTTGTAATACTCCAGCCATTGTCTGCATTCCAAGAAACCATAGCTCCATAAGTTCCATCCACCGTTCTTTATATGACATGGCAACAACAAGTTCAGTTGGATCATTACTCTCATCAATTATATATGCATCCCACAAAAATCTTATAGTAGCCTGTATATATCGACATATAGAAAAATCATTCTTTTTCATACGTGTTGCTTGTTGTTTTAATAATAATAATCCCAAAACTGCAAGATGACCATGTAGTACTAGATTTTCTGGAATTTGTTTAAGTTCTGGAAGATTATTGAAAATAAATTTCAATAGAGAAATGAACGTTGGTGATTCTTCTACTAATTTTGCTTCTAATACAGTAATGTTCATTAACACATTACACACGGAAACCATGGCTGTCCTTGAATCTTTAATTGCTTCTGATACATGGAGTTCTAAATCTTCTTCTTTTTCTGGTTCTTTCAAAGCTTTTAATCTTTCTGATTTTGGTACTGGTGGTTTTTTATGATGAATAATTGTCCAATGGTAAGATAAACATTCAAACAGTACTTCTTCTTGTTTATGTTTAATTAAAATTTCTCGAGCATCTTCTTCTATAGCTAAATAACATAATGCTGGTAACAGAAGTCTTAATAAATCAACCTCGCTTAAAGGATCATGAGTGACTGGTTCTCCAGATGATGTTGCTTCATCACTTTTAATTTTAGCATTTGCCTTAGCCTTCTCAGCTAATTTTCTATTTCTATGTGCATAAAATGTATCATTGGCTACTGTTAAGACATAAGGTAAAATTGCATAAACTTGAGAACGCACAGCTGTTGTTTCTTGAGCAAGCCATGCTGCTAAAACTCTTACCACAGCATAAATAAATACTTTTTCTTTAATATCTGTTATTTCTTTCATTTTAGATACTGCTGTAAGTAAACCTATAATTGCAGTAAAAGCTCCCTTTAGTACAGTATACAAGGACTGTTTTTCTTTCTGATCTAGATCTAATTGATCATTAGTAATATATGCAAGAGAAATTTCAAGAATAACAAAGCAAGATGTTATTAAAACAGCATTTGCCATTACAGTTTTTAATTGTTTTCCTTCTACTTGCATTCTAACTTCTATAGATGCTAATTGAATCAACAATAATAAAAATACTTTTGGCCTTTCTTTATCCAATAAAGTCCATTCAGCTCCTAATAAATCTAACATAACAGAAGCAAGTTTTAATACTGGATCACGTTGATTTTTGCCTATCTTTGATCCAAGAACATCAAATATAGCCTTATGAATACTAGAAGGCCAAGTCTCGTCTTTAGCAGTTTCACTAATAATATTCTTTCTGCAGGACATTAATAAAGCTTGTAAAATTGTACATAAATGAAATTTTCTTTCAGTATGATCTGTTTCAAAATCTAATGCAATTTTATTCATAATAGCATGAAAAGGTGCAGCATCTGTTGCATCCCATGCTTCTGGACCAAATCTTTGAACTAAAGTGACTAAGATATTTAAAGCTTGATCTGTTTGAAAGCTCTTTTCTGCATAAATATCACACATTTTTGTAATTGCTTTCTGTTCAAGTAAAACTTGTTGTCCAGGAGGATATTGTGCAATATTTTGTAAACATGTATATGCTTCACTAACAATAATTAACATATTATCATCTGCATCTTCATCATTTTGGGACACAATTTCAAGTAGTGCAGGTACATGAGTAATCATGTCAGGATGAGAAGCTAATTCTGATTCTGCACAAAATGCAGAAAGTATAGATAACGCTACAGATTTATATACTTGTGGAGGACAGTCTACAGGAACTACTTGTGTAGACAATAATTTTTTTAAAAATTTTGTTCCAATTGCTTCAAATAATATTTTTTTCATTGCTACTGTACAATCCTTGCTATCCACTAATTTTGTAATCATAAATAAAGCAGCAAATTTTTCTGAATCAGTTTCAACAGATTTTAAAATAGATACATACTTTTTCACATCCTTTGGGATATTCATGGTTATACTTTGCTTTGTTACAATTTAAAAGCTAAAGATTATTTTTAATATTCTAAGCGTTTTTGTAATCCTATTTTTAGAATACGATGACAATCTCCAATTTTCTCCTTACAAACAGTTTCAGAATATTAGTATTAATTTAACGGTATTTAACAAAGTTTCACTGAGATTTGCATCTTTCACATGTCACAGCTAAAAGCCAACTGGCAGTACTCCCAGATCAAACCCCTTAAAACTAGCCTTGCCCTTTGACACACTCACTTAGTTGGACAAAAATAAAGTTGTACTACCACAAATGTTAATTTCACAAATGTATGTACATTACATTGAAATATGAGTTATTACCAATATAAGGTTAACAACGTTTTTTATTTCTTTTAATTTATTATGGGCATATAATATATCAATTGCTTATATTAAAGTTCGTATTACAGAAAATAACGTTAAAAGTTATTTAAAACAATCTTTCATAGAATTTCATTAAAGAAAAATTTCGAACATAAACATAGTTTTACCATAACCTTTTTCACATAATACAACGTACGAATACTATTGCACTGTACGATTAACTGCTATCTTAAGAACGTGAAAATCCTCAGTAATGTGCTTACACGCTTTTTCTACGTTATGTTGAGCGTCTGGACAGTGCAGTAGGATCGGTCGAAAATAACCGTCCGAGAGAAAGCACTATATCAGGGAGTCGGCTCGTATTACACAGAAGCTTCTATTTTCGTACGATCTTCGTATACAAATCAAAATGAAAGAAAATAAATGTAAATATAATTATCACAAGATGCTTTTTTGAAACAATAAAGAAAGTTCCAAAAAAAAAAATATTTATAGAATAATTAATAAATTAGCAATACGAGTGACCTTTACGTTTTTCTAATTTAGAATCAAAGATCCAGTTATCTTTCGCGCACTCTCCAGGAAGAACATATATACACATACATATATAGTATTTCAACCAATACTGACCGTTTATATACACGCATTCGACTTTTGACATCAATATAATTTCAAATAATTTAGCGTACCTTTCGACATGTTTGATTGTCGCCCTTTCTAGTTTCGATGAGAGTATTGTCCAGATCAAAAAACACAGCGCTTCTAGTTATGTTCGATGAACAAAGATGCTTCTTATGCAAAGTCGCCATTGTCATTGGAAAAATAATCTGTTGTTCATCCAACGATGTAGCAATGAAGAATCGCGCATGAAAACATGTAATGTTCATATAACAGTTCCCTTTTAAGAACACTTTAAGGATAAATATACAATTATCTTAATGGTCAGACGTCAGAATAGACTATATCTGTCTTATCTCGACCTAATACCTTTCGTTCCTGACCTTTTTCTGTTCCTTGATTTCGTCTCGAATGAAGAGACATCTTTAATAGAAAATTATGATGTTGATCGTCGATAAATACGTAATCTAGTTTCACGCTTAAATATATAATTAAAGTTATCAATGGAGATAATGAAATTTGTGAAAGTTTCATATTTGTAAACATGTGTAATGAAATTTAAAAAATATCTATTTAACAAAAATTGATACAAACAAAATTATAAATAAATTATTCAATTAAGTAGTTTATATGATAATCATCTTCGATTTTAATATTAAATATTATATTGAAATAACAATGAATAATAGATAATACAATCTACGTAACTTGAAGTTGTTTCAGCATTGATGGCGTCACGATATTTTGGCGCGTAGTTAATACTTGCTTTGAATTCGTATTTTTACATTATAGCATAAAATTTTCATTATTTAAGGCGTATTATAATATATTAGAAGATGAGTGCTATGGCATCTACAGCTGCTGTTCAAGAAGATGAAGAATGGGAGGAATATAATCCCCAAGCAAAATTAATAAAGACTCTCGAAGTAAGTCGATTCTGTAACCTGTATTATTGTTTTTTCATTTAATACAACTTTTAGAATGTACAAAATATTAATTATAAAATTAATATTTTGTATTTAATAAGTATGATTTCTATTTAGGGAAATGGCATAACAGCAGGGGATGTAAAAAAATTAGGGGAAGCTGGCTATCATACTGTAGAAGCTGTAGCTTATGCTCCCAAAAAGTGCCTACTTGCTATTAAAGGTATCAGTGAAACTAAAGCAGATAAAATTTTACAAGAAGCTTCTAAATTAGTGGTGATGGGATTTAAAAGCGCCACTGAAATTCACCAGACTCGGTCAAATATAGTTTTTGTGACTACTGGTTCTAGCGAATTAGACAGATTACTAGGAGGTGGTATAGAAACTGGTTCTATTACAGAAATATTTGGTGAATTTAGGTCGGGAAAAACTCAGTTATGTCATACACTCGCTGTTAATTGTCAATTACCTATAGATATGGGAGGTGCAGAAGGAAAATGTCTTTACGTAGATACAGAAGGAACCTTTAGACCTGAAAGACTAATTGCTGTTGCTGAGAGATATAAAATTGCAGGAGATTGTGTGTTAGATAATGTAGCCTGTGCTAGAGCTTATAATACAGACCATCAAACTCAATTATTAATTCAAGCTAGTGCTATGATGACAGAATCTAGATATGCATTATTAATAGTAGATAGTGCCACTAGTTTATATAGAACTGAATACAGTGGAAGAGGAGAATTAGCTGCTAGACAAATGCATTTGGGTAGATTTCTTAGAATGTTACTCAGGATAGCTGACGAACATGGTGTTGCTATTGTTATAACCAATCAAGTTGTGGCACAAGTTGATGGTGCAGCTAGTATGTTTGGTGGTGATCAGAAAAAACCAATTGGTGGTCATACTTTAGCACATGCAAGTACTACAAGATTATATTTACGTAAGGGTAGAGGTGAAACAAGAATATGTAAAATTTACCATTCACCTTGTTTGCCTGAGAATGAAGCAATGTTTGCAATAAATGCAGATGGTATTGGAGATGTCAAAGAATAATAATATATCTTTCTGTTATAAATGCATTTATAAGAAAGTTACATTAAATTGTGCCTTTCAGAAAATGAATTTATTTTTGTATTTAATGTAACAGTAAGAATATGTAACTTGTTTTATTATATCAAAATAATGAATAAATAGAAAATATTATTGAATGGTTATTGTGTAAAATTATTATGTAAAAAAAGGGAAAGAAAATACTAAATGTACAAAGTAAAATTTAAAACTAGGTATATATATAAATAATTTACTTTATTTATATTTTTATAAATAAATACAAATTTTTGTATAAACTATGTAATTCTAAAGAATAAATTATTTAAAAATTTGAAAACAAGATTTATTTATAATCCATTACAATAAACTAGTAAGAACTAGATTATCTAGTAAAATTTTAATTGATTTTACAGTTCAAAAATTTACATAATACATTAATACGTAATAAACAACCCTTTAATCATAAATAATATTAATTTAATTATATAAATATCAATAAAAAACTAATTGTTATAACGTATAACTTTATCATAAATGATAATGTTCAAACTGCACTACAAAGTATATCATACATGTCGCCATTTTGTCTACAGAAGTTCGTTCCGAAAACTGTGTTTCAATATTTTGTACGGTTTTCTCCATTTAAAATTAGTGTTAAAAGGAGTTTTGGGTCTATAATTTTGAGCGCGGATAGGAAAATTAAGCGTTCGAGAAACAATTTTGTTTCAAGGTGGGTTATACGTCATATGATATGTCATAAATTTGCATAGTATATACATGTATATATAAAACATATGTATAAAACAATCTAAATTTTAACTTCAATCTTGCTTATTTTTTAATATATCTTATAGTACATCATAATTATAAAAAGTCTTTTAAATTTATTAATTAAATAGTGATATATTATTTATATGTAAATACAAATTTATGTACAAAATTTGTAGTAGAATCAATAAATCTATTAAGGAAATTACTTTGTATTTCAGTGTGAGAGTATTATCTACGAAAATGAGTGAAGATATTTCGTTATTTACTTTACCAAATAATCAACCAGTAATTTCTTTAGAATGTAATACTGCATTTAACGCTTTAACAAAAACTGAAAAATTATATGCTCATTATCTAAGTCAAGCTTCATGGAATGGAGGACTTATTGTTTTTGTACAAACTTCTCCAGAATCACCATTAATATTTGCTCTTTTACATAAAATTTTCTTAAATGAATCAATAGTTAAATTAAAAACATCTGCATTTATTGATGGTATTAGCGAAGATGAGTTTACAGTAAGTTGAATATATCAAATAGCACTTTTAGTTATTATAAACAGTGTTTATAATGTTAATTTTCAAATATTTTACACTTTTAGGCATTTTTAGTATATTCTTGTGGAATTTTTGCAAATGGTGGTAATTATAAATCTTTTGGTGATAGTAAAATAATTCCTAACTTGCATAAGGATAAATTTGAAGCTATAGTAAAAGTTTCAAAGGCATATCAAGATAAACCCAAAGAGATTGAGGAAATTTGGAATAAAATCCAAAATGTAATATATTCTATAACAGGAAAATTTAAATCTTTGGGTTTGGGTGAGAAGGGGATTACAACTTATTTTTCAGCTAATTGTACAGATAAAGATGCAGAATTAATTAATGATTTTATGCAAAGTAAAGGGTTAGAATCTTATAATACAAGATGTTTTAAAACAGTGAAGGAACAAAATGATTCTAAAGCTTCAGGAAATATGAATGTGTATGAAATTAGATTAGCTTCTGTAGAAACCAATAATGATTCTGATATTACATTGCCAGAAGAAGTATATAAAAATGCAAAGTTTAAAATTACAAGAGGAGATTATAGCAAACTTTTGATTCCAGTCGTTTCTAATCTTCAAAAAGCAAAAGAATATGCAGCAAATGAAACTGAAAGAAATATGTTAGATAAATATATAGAACATTTTAAAACAGGATCTTTACAAGATCATAAAGATGGTTCTCGTTTTTGGATTAAGGATAAAGGACCAATTATAGAAACTTATATTGGTTTTATTGAAACCTATAGAGACCCAGCAGGCCAAAGAGGGGAATTTGAAGGGTTTGTAGCAATGGTAAATAGAGAAATGTCAAAAAAATTTGCTACATTAGTGAGTAATGCAGAAAAATTTATACCAAAACTTCCCTGGGGTAAAGACTTTGAAAAAGATGAATTTTTAAAGCCTGATTTTACATCATTAGATGTTCTAACATTTTCAGGCTCTGGAATTCCTTCAGGTATAAATATTCCAAATTATGATGAAATTAGGCAATCAGAAGGCTTTAAAAATGTTTGTTTGGGTAATGTAATTCCTGCAAGGGAGTCAACAAAATTAGATGTAATGCCATTTTTATCTGAACAAGATCAAACATTGATGAATACTTACAGAGTAGCTAGTTTTGAAGTGCAAGTTGGATTACATGAACTTCTTGGTCATGGAACAGGTAAACTATTGATGCAATCAGAGACAGGTTCATATAATTTTAATATGGGAGAAGTAAAAAATCCTATTACTGGAGAATTAATAGATAAATATTTTTTACCTGGTGAGACATATGATTCGAAATTTGGTCCACTGGGATCTTCTTATGAAGAATGCAGAGCAGAAGCAGTAGGATTATATTTATCTTTAGAAAGAGATGTATTGAGTATATTTGGACATGAGGGTTCTGAGGCAGATAATATCATGTATGTGAATTGGTTATGTCTTTTATGGACTGGTTGTGCAAGAGCTTTAGAAATGTATCAACCATCAACTAAGAAGTGGCTGCAAGCTCATTCTCAAGCAAGATATGTTTTACTTAGAGTTTGTTTGGAAGCTGGTGATGATTTTGTTAATATTACAGAAGTTGATGGTGGAGAGAATTTATTATTAACTGTTGATAGAAGTAAAATTTTAACAGTTGGTAAAAAAGCAATTGGAGCATTTTTAACAAAATTACAAATTTACAAAAGTACAGGTGATATTGAAGCAGCTAGGAAAATGTATGAAGAATATAGTGAAGTACCAGAAGAAGGACCATATCCATGGGCACGCTGGAGAGACATAGTTTTAGCTCACAAAGAACCTCGGAAAATATTTGTACAATCTAATACATTTATAGATGGTTTGTATTTATGTAGTTATATGTATGTATTGTGATGTCTTGCAGACATATTAATCTATTTATCATGGATTCAGGTGAAGATGAAAATGAAAGTGAAGTACAACTAAAAAACTATAAACCCACTTTTGTTGGATTAATTCAATCTTGGATAGAAAGATTTCCTTCTGAAGACTATTCACAAATTCTAATCGAAATTTTAGAAAAAGATAAACAACACTTTATACTCGAAAATAATTAACTATTTGATAAAAACATTGGCAGAAAATTATTTTTTTTATTATGTATGCTATAATTTTTATGTATGTATATGTGGATAATCCTAAAGTGAAATACATTCGCAAGATTACAGAAACAACATAAACTTTTTCTATTATTTTACTTTATATTTCATAAAAATTAAATATCAGTGTATTATATTTTTTGACAAAGATTCCTATAGAGTGCGCTACGATTCTGGTTACAAGATTTAGTATACTTGAATACATGAAGTATTTTCTATATGAGATATGAAAGTATAGTTTACAACGAAGGCATTGCGCATGTATATTGATTTACCAAATTGGCGGGAAAAACCTGAAGAAGTTGTGTAGTAAAATAAATAGTTGATGTAGTAAAATGGTGTCAGAAGAATCGTTAATTTTGTGCTTTTCGAATTTAGGTTGTGATGTTTCCGATAAATTTGTGATTGATAAATGTAAGTTACTTATTATTTTATAATTTAAGACAAATAGTTCCTAACCTATACGAATTTTCTAATTGATTGTTGATTAAAAACAGTATTTAATTGAAAACAAATCTTAACTTTTTAAATATACATTCCATATTTAATGATCGTGCTATTTACTCACAGTGTTATACATATTTTTATAAATATATAACATAAAGTCTTGATAAATCTAATGTTAATAATTTTTGAATATTTACCCTATATCATTGAAATGTTTGAATTTTGTATAAGAATATTAATATTAATATTTACCCTATATCATTGAAATGTTTGAATTTTGTATAAGATTTTTAATATTTGCATTTATTTTTATAATATATATTATTTATATAATATAATACATTTTTAAAGAATTTTTTTAATTAGGTATTCAGATTTGTCATGCCTATAATTTAGATGAAGATACATTTGTGGAAATGTGGATAGCATATGCAATTCCACATTCATTGAATATTGATCCAACAATAAATGATCTTATTAAATTTGAAAGGGAAGAATTAAGGAAAAATAATACGTGTTCTTTAGAAATTCCTACACGAGCAGTGTCAAATATAACTATTGATGTAGAATCTAAAGAAGAAATTACGTATCCTTTTATAGGTGTATTTGACACCAAATGTAGCAAATGTTCAATCTTCTTATGTTTTTGTATTCACGTTATTTGTGTTATATGAATATTCGTGTAATGTTATCCTTACATATATGTGTATATAATTATAGTAATGATGTTTTGGATATATACAGCACTGGAGAATCTTCCACGTTGTATGTAAGTTTTTATTTTAATATTTTAGTTTTGACTTTAATATTTCATTTTAGTAATTGTTAGTAGATATGATACTTTAACAATGTAATAATATATATTTTAGTACTTATTCTTAACAAATATTTTTGTACATTAGAAATGTTTGTCAACAAATAACATATAGTTAAAAAGAGAATGAAAATATATTTTAATATGTATCATTAATAATTATTTTTAAACATGTATTTTACATTTTATGGATTGAAATTAAGTTTCTCCATTTTTCGTCAAAGTGTGTCCATTATTAAATTTTGAGCGGGCTATTTTAATTTCAAAAGATGCCCAATCTTATTCTTTCTTTCAAGAGGGAAGGTCTCTACCCCTGTAATGGTTTCCCAACATTGTTGCCAGATTATCAAACTAGTCTTCATAAGTTGAATATCTAAAATTATTACGTACAATCAAATTTTGTTGCAAGTTTTTTATATACGTCCTACAGTTATTTTATTTTATTATATCTTAAAATATTTCTATATATATTATTGCGTAATGAACACATTTAGTTCAAAAATTTATGTTTTATACTGTTATTTTAAAAGGAAATTAATATTTATGATAACAGATTTTAATTATGAAAGTGATATATAAGATGAACTTAATTTTTTAAATTAGTAATTTTAAAACGTAATATTATTAAATATACGTGTGAATATGATTACAAAGTTATGCTTTGTATAATATATTGGACAAAATATTGAACAATTTTAATACAGTAAAACACATAATAAATATTTAAAAAATGTTGTAATTAAAATATTAGTATGTTATGCCCAAAAGGTATATTTGATATTGAACTTCAACCTTGGCAATACAATGATTTACGTCGCTTTGGCAACACTGTCTCACATTCTTTATGGTCGATCTATGGTCTATAGTAGCAATGACGTAAGGCTTCTACCTGAGAATCTTATTCTTCATAGTACGTTCGGAATTATACTTAATAAAGTTATACGAGATAGATAAATTTCAACATTTATGTTACTTTTATTAACATAATATTCAATTTATAATTTATGATTTTCAATTTATAATTTATAATTTTACATTAATAAATACATATAATATATTATACATAATTTTTAATTTATAAGAAATATAGTTTTAACGATATTCCATTGTTCTTATTTCTCTGTAATTAAAATTATTTATTGTTTAAAGTGGGAAATTGATTGTCACAATTATTAAAATAGAATTTTAATAATTGCTTATGAATTTTTTTTGAAGTGAAGCTATTTTGCAATTCGTTGTTATTAAATTCCAAATTATTTGACTCAAGCCGAAAATATGTATTGAAAGTATTTCACCTGTGTTTAACTTTATTTAATATAATTATATAGTAATTAAATTTCATAAAAAGAAATTTGTTCTTTTACAAGTAATATATCTTTTATTATGAGAAAAGGAAAATTTTATGATATTGTAATATTATTGTTAATATGTATTACAATATTTACAAATACTGTGTTTACATTACGCTTACTGTTGATGTTGAATGATATTGATGTTCAACATTGATGTTAACAATACTAGTGAAATTTTCGATGCTATTTCCTAGCAGGTGGTTTCTTGTCCTGTAGCGCTGTTGTAGGATCTTGTTGAAGCACCGTAATTCCCGCCACAAAAATCGTCCAGGTAGATCGCCGCCATTATCCCCCCTCCTTTTTTTCCCAGTCTCCCACAAAGGACACGCTTCCATGGAGGGGAATGCTGGATTCATTCTTATTGGTAGAAAAAGGACAGTGTGCTTTCTCGTATCGTATAGAGAGGGATTCTCCTTCCATCTAAGAGAGCTGACCAGATTTCTTCAAAGGGTACGATTTCAGTTTTCAAGGACCCAGACTCCATTATCATCCTGATGCGCGCGTGCGCGCGCGCTTACAGAATTTCCGAACAAAGCGTTATATCTTTCGTGCATTTCTATGTTTTATTTTTCAAGTTGTATTGAAATTTATAAATAACAATTTGGCGGGTAATTGTTTTGTTTGTGTACGAAGGAATTATAGTCCGTAGTTTTTTAAATATTATTAGATACGATCAAATATCTCGATGGCGTCGAATCGAGACGCTACCGCTTGTCTGTCAGCGAGTCACGCGGAATCGGAGTGTATTATTCAGTGATTTGCCGGCCGATAGTGAATTTTACAAGCTATACGTAATTTCTAAATTGTGTAAATTTAGTTGTGAAGTAACAAAGAATTAGTGCAGAATAGTATTATATGAGGGAGTGTACAATGTGTATTACATGTTGAAATAGTCGAGTAAAGCGTCAGCCATTATGGAATTCGGTTTGAGTGAATTTCATACTCGAAAGTCATTCCGCCAATCATATAACGTTCTATGTTATAATAACCTGTTGCTATTGCTATTACTATTGTTGCTGCCATTTCTACTATTGTTCATTCAATTTTTTTTACTTTTTCCATCATTTCATATAATACAGTTCTATTTTTATTACGAAAACGTGCCAGATTGACTACAGAGAGGTTGAAATGTTGCTCCTATATGTGCAAAGGTTACTTATTTACATTAAATTTATCATCAGATGTTGTTAAAAGAAATACGTGATAAATGTATTTGCTAACATTAAGAAGGTTTACGGATAACCTTATTCACATTGATACTCACGCATGCATATACACTGTATGTAATAAAAATAGTACTGTGTATGAGAAAGAGAAAAAAGATCGATTGCAATTGTGTGCGTACACGCGAATGTCGTCGACCGTTCGTTCGTTCGTTGCGAGTTCTGAGCGTCGCGTCGCTACAACCTGTTGCTTCAACTAAATCCTATGCTTCTTTCGATCTACTCATTTCTTTCGAGTGTTTTCGATATTTCTTAAATATTTTACAGAAAAATAATTTACCTGATTATTAACTAAAGGTATTATATGCACTACACTTTTAGTTTTGTATTTCTTATCTTCGAATTATATGTACTTTCTCCACCAATATTCTCTCTGTGTATGCATACACATGTATATAATATTTCTATATAGATTCATACGCGCCCACGTGTGCGTTTATACGTGTTAGCTGTTTAACGTAACATATAACTATTTGAAATTCTATATTTCGTTTTTATCGCGGAATAACTTACTTTGTTTCGTCTAATGCGCGAAATATTTTATCTCGTGTAATCACGTACTACGGAATTTATATAACTACGCAATTAATTTGCTTATAACATCAAATGCGCGTAAATTATAACAAAATTTTAGCTTTCTTAAATGATACTTCGTTGAGAGATCGGTTCCTTAGGGAGTTGCTTACATGTATCAATTAAGTACAATTGACCAACAACTGACAGACCAACTGATCTCCTTCCTCTCTTTGCTCCAATTTCTAGCTCTTTGACGTTCATTTCTTACATGTACGAAATAAGCAAGAAATTCGTACTATTTATGAATAAGGAAAAAGTTGTACATTTTGGTATCTGCGTTGAAAAGTGAATGAAATACCAACTGTTCTTCTGGTATGCTACAACTGTATCTAGTAAAAGCTCCACGTTATTTCCCACGGTATATCTGTGAATAGTGGGGCGAAAGATTGCCAGGGGCGGATAGTTCGTGGTGAGAGGGGTAGAAGGAGAAATAGTCTCCTGACTCTATGTGTATTCATCAGAAAAGAGGGGGAAAGAGGACAGCTCGGTGATCGACCCAAAGTTTTACATGATCTGGTACAGCAAGTATCGTTCAAATAAATTCCCTGTCCGCGTCTTTTCTTCGTATTTAACCGAATATTACATACATTAACATATCATTTTGCGGCTATAAATTTTGTCTTTTGATTTATTTTTCAGAGAAATTTTATAACTGGTAGCAAACACATAGATCGATCAAAAGAATGGATTATTTCTGAGAAGTTAAAAATACCTTGATAAATTAATCGGTTACCACGAGGGAAAGGAAATTTTAATCGAATGTAAAAGTATTAAACGCGAAGAAATAATTTGAACTTGATCGAAACAATATGTAATCGAGTGCTAAGAATGGTCAGGTTAATAACAATTAACCCTCCTCGTTATGTTGATTCCCGAACGCAGCAGCCTGTGCCATAACTACATAGTTTTTGTCATTGTAACGTTTGCCAACGTTATCAGTTTAAAATAACTGTTTATTGCGTTCTTTCTAGGTTTATCTGTAATTTCTTCCACAATTGTAACAATTTACTTTCTAAATATCGATAATGATAGTTTAGAGCGTACGACGTTGCATGATGCAATGAGGAGAAGAGGGCAGATAAAGAGAAGAGGACAGAGAAAGAGAAGATCACGAGAAAATTCTCCGAATTTGCCAAATGAGTGAAGGTCTAGTGCACAGAAGATCAAATTGTGACTAGATCCATACTCATTAAGCACGTTCAGGTTCAAACATCACAGCTTTATTTAGAAATTATGAAACAATTTTTTCATATCGACGCGCCATTATGTTACTTGAGAAATGTATTATCTGTTATAAACTTTGCTTATTCATATAGCGAAGGATGATGTAAAACAGATAATTCCATAGGCGAGTATGAATGTGGTGCACGTTTTGATTTTCCACCGTGACTAGATACATACTCGTCTACGGTGGTTTGTTTTGCTCTTGGAATATTGTATGTACGAAGTATGTGCAAGCGTAGTTTTAAGACTCGATAAAACTTGTTCTATTAACATTGTATTATTGTATAGAATTTTATTTTGTCCTCTTTTTAAGCAAATTAAAAGAGCAAGAAGTCCAGCAGCAGAGACAGGAAATGACAATAAATTACGGGCAGTAGACCATACGTTTACACCGTCAACTTATACGTCAAAACCGTAAGCACAGTATTTAATTATTTATACTTGTATGTTTATGTAATCTGATGTTAGAATTAGCAAGTTACGATTATTTTTATAGAAATACACCTATTCGAGCGCCAAGTACAACTGTTAGGGGTAAAGTACTTTTGTCTTTTGGCCCAGATGTTCAGAATTGGAAGAAACAAGACGAGTACGAAGTGTCGATCGTTAAGGCCGATAATCCCCATGTACCTAAGGATGTTACATACATGTACGAGATGCTTTCCAAACAAGGGGCCGTTCTTAGCAGCCGTTGTGTAAGTTTTGGTGAGCGACTGTGCCATATTTGGAACGAAATGGGCCCCAGTAATTCTAATATACGTTATGTGAGAAATGTAATGCCTATGAGTCAAATACCATTCAGAACATGGGGTAGAATATCTATAACATCCAATAAATCTACTGGTAATAAAATTGTAATGTTGGAGGGTTCTAAAAGATGCAAAGGCGAAAATAATGCTCCTATTATCCGTTTGGATCTTAGTGGAATTAAGCATTATTCAGTGTTTCCCGGTCAAATACTTGCGGTGGAGGGTATTAATACCGCTGGAGATGCTCTAATAGCGAAAGAATTGTTTGCTAAGGGATATGCACCATTATTCGATACACCAAAATTAACGAAAGATATTAAAATTTACATTGCTGTTGGCCCATTTACACCTTCTGATAATTTAAATTATCAACCGTTATGGGATCTGATGGAATGTATTGTAGAAGAGGAACCTAATATATTAATATTAATTGGCCCTTTCGTTGAATATACACATGCAGAAATTAAAAAGAATACCTTAAAAGATACTTATCAAGACTTTTTTGATAAAATTTTGGCGAAGATTCTACAATATTTGCAAAGGTATATTATTAATTAACAGTATTATATGAATGTATTTATAAATTGTTAACATGCTTTTATTATTTAGAAAATCTACACGCATTGTATTGGTACCATCTAATCGAGATGTTTATCACGATGCAGTTTTTCCGACTCCGGAATTTATGATAAATATAAATAAGCTAGGACCAAATGTGACAAATCTATATTGTATGCCAGACCCTTGCATAATAAACGTAGATGGTTTACACATAGGAATAACGTCAGTTGATGCACTAAGGCATCTTGGACAAAAAGAAGTGTCGTAAGTGCAGTTGCATTTAATGATATGTATATTAGGAATTTTGTTATAATAAATAATGGAAATAGTGAAACGTGAATTTTACTATAATAATATATTTTTTAGGAATACATCTGGAATGGATCGGATTGGTCGTTTAGCCGACCATATATTATCTCAAGCTACATTTTATCCTTTATATCCTCCATTTTCGGGCTTAAATCTCGATACAACGCTTTGGAAAAAATACGCTTGTTTCGAACGACAGCCACATGTATTGATTTTACCTTCTGACATCAAACATTATTGCAAATCATTGAATGAATGTTTGGTCTTGAATCCAGAGCGATTACTAAAGTATACTTATGCTAAGTTGTATGTACGGCCAGTAAATAATGGAAAATGGGATCCAAACAAAGTATCTTGTGAGATTGCAAAAGTCTAATAACTTGATATCTTTATCCCTATTTTTATATGTTCTTGTAATGTAAGGTATGATTACTAAAGTGCAGATTTACATTTATTATATAAAGTAAGATGTTAATAAAAAGAATTCTTGTATATTTTGTATTTTCTTTTAATTTTTTAAACTTTTAAATATGTTGTGCGTTTACTTTATATTGTATAATGTTATAACTTATTTGAGTAGATACGTGAAAAATGAGTATAATGGAATTTTGAGTTCACCATTTCTCCGTTAGGGGTTAGCACTCGTCGTATTTGGATTTATAATTCTTGTCTGTGTCGTAAACGTACGATGGCGCCACTGGAACAACAATTGGAGCCATCGAGTTTTCTGCTTCTCGTGAGTTGTGGAATCGGCCATTGCTCCAATATTTTTCTTGTGATTGAAAATATTTAAACCCTGATGGAAATACAAAAGCGTATATGAGTACCGAGGTAAGTTGTTGGATTACTTGTTACATTTGCTATTATTTTTTTGATGTATTTTTGTTGAAACAGTAAAGATAATTAGGCATCAACGATCTGCCAAATTTTGTTCCGCCATCTTTGTTACAAATTCGTTTACATTTTGTTATGTGTATTGTATTTTTTACGATTATTTCATGTTTCGCATTTTACTTTTAAATTTGTTTTGGTTGGTCAATTACATATGTGACATGATTTATGACCCTACAAGTTTTCCTTTGAATTTTCTGTCTATTCTTCAAATTAACCGTGCGGGTTTCACAATTGCTGTTATGGCCTTGATTTTTTCGTCCAAAAAAACGAGAGTTATGAAATTAAGCATGTGATGATAAATAAGACTTTGGTGCCCTTCGTGCTTCTCGATCGTGCTTCTCATCGTCTTTAAATCAGCGTCCTAAAATGTAGTGATACAATTACAATATTTTTCTTTAGGTATAAAATATGAATTAATATTTTTGTGATTAAGTGGAAACTTACATATGTTATATTTACCATGATGAATTATATTATAAACTAAAGAGCATGTGGTTTTTGTTGAGTGTTGGTGTGCTGCAATAGTAAATACACCTAATATTATTTGGAAACTACATACACACATAAATTTATATATACGCACATATATATATGTATATATATGTGCGTGTATGCGTGTGTGTGTGTATTTGAAAGATATATATTCAGGAAAATGATTATTTAATGCAACTTTTTAATCATGCTGTATTGGTGTTAGAGAACATTGATACCTTTAAAAATATTTATATTTATGAGATAAAAACTTCTTTAATGTAAACGTAATTAATATGAAAGATCAAATTTCACAATCAGTACTGTTAATTATTTCATTATAGTGTTAGTAAAAATATATATTTAATTTCATACATAAGTATTAAATTAGATAATTATGATTGTAGATATATTGATTTAGATATTTGAAATGATACCGACGGATGAAATCGAAAATTTCTTTATTACCGACTACTTAACCTTCTATTTTTGGAGGTAATATTACATTAAATTTAGCATATTATTGTTATTAATTAAACAAATCATTTTATTTATGAACTTTTATACAAAATTTGTTGTTGCTAAATTATGTATGAGAAGAAATAAAAGGTTAACTCTATAAATGTTTTTTATAGCGTTTTATTCAATGTGTAATATACGATTATATTTGTTTAAAATATTAACTTACAAAAAGATATTGATTGAGACAAAAACTATTATCGTGTAATTAATATTAATTTATTTTTCAGTGTGTGGTTGTGAATGCTTACAAAATTTATACAAAAGAATTTATGAACAGGGTAATTAACTATGAAACGACTCTGAAACATACACGAGTTTACTTTGCATATATACAAAGATTAGTATAACTCATAACTGATTTAGAAAAGGAGCCGAAATTTGTGCAGAGTATCATAAGTACGATACATTACTAAGAACATGAGAAAGCGAGAGTGCCATATCGATCCGGTTAGTTTCAAGTCTACCTACCTCAATTTTGATTATACTTTTACTCATCACTTTCATTGACACAGATTTCATCTATTATATCCATTCTTTAACTAATTTTTTAGCGTTCTTTTTATACACGTATTTTCCTTTACTAAAGAAATATCTTTCTATACTTTTAACGTTTTCAATAATTCCAGCTATATATTTTCGCGCACTTGTACAGTCCATGCATTGAAACGTTAGTTGGTAGCTCAATATATATTTGATGCAAATCTTTTAATTACCACGACGAGTTTCCGCATCGAATGTATCAGGAAATATCGAAAACACAACGTGTATGGTACTTATATAATACTTATTATGTACATATAGTCTGTTTATAAATAGTCGTCAGACAATAGTTTGTAGCATAAAGTGCACACAAGTTTGATACAAATACGAAAAATTATTTTATTTGATTCACGTATATCTAATTTTCTTCTAATGTTACTATTTCGATTAAAAGAAGTAATTCTAAAAAGATATTCTACTTTTATAATACTGAGTTTCTATTTTTTATAAATACTTTACTTTTTACATACTTTTTAAGAGTATGTATTGACAAAGAAAAATATAGTATATATTCATAGATAAAGTACTTCTTTATCAAGTTTTATCAAATTTTATGATAACACAAAATGCAGTTTTCGATTACCATCAATAGGTGTAATGGGTAGAAGCATAAGTTCATTACTCTTGCGAGGTAAATTATTAAAACCTAATTTACCGTTTCAGTATCCAATGTGTGCTTCTTTATTTACATTTTAATTTTTTCTAGGCTTAGTTCCTCACTTGTTTACATCGGGCTTGAGATACTGAAAAGTAGTAAAATATAGGATGTAACAGAAAGACGGTATCTGTACCTAACCTAATTAATTAACCTTGAAAATCTCGTCTAATGAGATAGAGCTGCAGTGTAAGGAGTTAAAAAGTTAAGAGTAAAAAGGTAGATTCGGTGGGTGGTCAGGTTTTTGGGGAAGTGGCTAACGGCAAATGAAAATCCCAGAGTCTACGCTGGTGGGCTGTTTTGGGCGGGCGATGGCTGTGCGCAAAAACGGCGGCAGTCAAGTTCAAGGCCATCGGCTACCTTCCTTCCCCTCCTCGCTGGCGAAGCAGCCGCCGCCTCCAGTACCACCACCATTGCCGCGACACCATCGCCACTACTGCTACAGCCACCACTGCCGCCACCGTCACCGCCGCACCGTCATAGCCACAGCCACCGCCCCCGCCTCCCACCCATTCTCACCCTTCCATCGCGATATACACGTAGCACGCATAACGCCAGTAACGTATCAACTTAGGCCGAGCGTCGGACTGCTTCGACCATGGGGGTAAAGGGAGAGTTTTGGGGCTCGATCGATCTACCTACTCGTCTGAAAATTCAATTGGCTTGTATGTGTACGCAATGTCACTTCATGTGCCGTTTCTTCGTTTACGCATTCCCATTACGTCCCTTTGTACGCATCCTCTATAAATTGTAGCATTCTTCCCGAATTGTACGATAGATGCATTCATTAACATCTTTCTCTTACGTACTGATTTACTCGGCTTTCAATGTGTTTAGAAGAGAGGTTAAGTTTAAGAGGTAGAAAGATTTGTTTGAAAGTAGCTTTAGATCTAAGAGTTAATGACCGATTGGTCATGACCATGATAATATCCACGGTAATGTTTCATTTGTATTTGTATAATATGGTAACGGTTATATTTTAGATTGGAGTGGTCGATGATTTTATCATCGATAAATACTGTCTGATTTCGCAAAGTCTGCAAACAGTTTTTTATAGGACACTTTGAAGAAAGTAATCTAAACCAAATGTTCCTGAAATATTTCGCTTATGTTCTATAAATAGTGTAAGTTTCGATCTGATAAAAACTTTATCTTTTATACATAATTGGTACAGAACTTATTGTTATGGTTTTTATCTGGCGACTCGGACAGAACGAGTCGGACCTGCCATCTATAATAATAGAATAATTTTCATAGAAATATTCGTAATGTTCGTTTCATCTGTACAGAAGTCGTTTTTAATACGAGATTGAGGTAAAAAGGGTTGAATGTCAGTCAATCGATTGTTTGAGATATTCGATATTTTGTTCGAAAATTCGGCTAAGTTTAAAGTGATAAGGTAATTAGGATAAGAAATATATATTTCTCGGATTTGTGGCGCCCGATGTTAGGATTGGTTGGCTTCGTGTATTACCGTATCCTCTGAATTGCCGTCAGTCGCGTACGACTCGTCGCGCCGTCAACGTCGCGGGAGGGGGATAGTGTGTACATATTTGCGCGTGTGCTTATTCGTGTTCTTCATGAGTGTTTCGATCTTCGGCATTGCGGTCATTTTCGTTTTTCATCGTGGAAAAGCATAAAAGGAAAATAACAACGTAGTGTCCTTGTACCATTCGGACAGAAACGACAACCATGGATGCTTGGATGTACGATGTGGTAGGTGCTGTCGACACATAACCTCTTTCTTCCTTTCGTTCGATCTCGTGGCTTTGTTTACGTTGCTGCGCGCGCGTTCCCTGCTGCTTTTCCGTTAATCCGTCAATCGAATACCGAATAGGGTTCTGATCGTTTCGAAATGAACATGTTAACGTTTCGTTAGATAGGTTAGTTTCGAAGAATTATAAAAGAGAAGAATTTGTTCCGTAGGATTGATATTTACGTCAATGGATTATACGTTCAAATTCGGGTTCGTAAGAGTGCTTTGTTATTGCATGTCCCGAAAATTTTTTTCGTTTTTTCGCACTCAATATACACAAATCTGACGATTTTTCTCGCACAAATCGTGTCGATTGTATTTTTCACACGTTCGAAAACGCTTGTTTTCCAATGCAATAAGAATGCATATGTATTATCTTTGTCGCGTACCGTCAGTCAGCTTTAACGACAACTCGGTTATTACGTTACGACGTGTCTGTTAGGTAATCTATCCTGTAACTCGCTGATCATTTTTCCGCGCCTGCCGGTTTTTAACGTTACCGTTGATTCACGATTGCTTTGATTTTGTAATCTCCCATTTCAGTTAATCAATAATCTGAAAAGTGATTGTTTTTCGATTAGTTTACGTAAAATATCGAATTAAATATACATTGAATTTAAGGTACTGTGAGAATATAACGAAATATTTCACATAATTGGTATACATACCTATGCGTAAACGTTGTCATGAAAAAGTTGTTTGTTTTGATGGCAGTGAAACAGCTAAATCGTACGACCTTAGTCAAGTAGCTTTTACCAAATGCTTTTTCTTCTACGCTTTTTGCGTCTCGATCGTTCCTTAGAATTTCGTTTAATTTTTGTCATGCAACTATAATTTTCTGAAAATTACAAAAAGTGTCTTTTATATATTATAATAATTGATCAAGTGTGGAAAACAATATTAACGATTACATTAATTCTTAAGAAGGAGGAATATAGGTAATACCGTTTGGATTAACCTGGAAATATGAAAAAGAACGCGTAACGATTATCTTGTGCTCCATTTGAAATCATTTAAATTGTTTCGCGATAATTGACTTTTGCACGCTCCGATATGCACAAACGATTTTCGCTGATAACGAGTATAATGAAAATAATTTTACGTCAGCCTGTTTAGGCATTCTAAATTATTTGGAAATTTTTTGAATTTTTCAGTGTTAATTTTATTTCAAATTCGCCTAAGCCCTGACATTCGTACAAAGCTCATTTTTATACTTTATCGATAACGAAGATAACTATGTTTATTGACTATAATACATGCGTGTATATTTAAAAAAAATAATTTTTATTACCCGTAAGCGAATATTAGATAATTTTACGAAGAAATTTATTACTTTCGTGGTACCACTTTATCTTTCTTCTCTTCTCTCTGTATTTAGTAATCCTAATTTGTATAGGGATTATATCTATATTTTTCTAGTGATGTATTTCGTGACTTTTACGCATGGCATGAACCGGCTTAACGGCTGAAGTGGCCCATCTACAATCGCGTAATTCCATGACCGTAGAAGCACACATAGGATGTCGCCCGTTTTACTTTCGATTATTATTATACTTGGCATTTCAATCGTCACACGGAGTGCGACTCATTTATACTGTATTTTTACCAACCCGATCGATGTCGATTTTGATAAAACAGTGTCTTTTCTGGGAATAAATATTGACCGATTTTATCGCTCGCGTTGTTTACTAAAGGCAATCTCCCGCGAAATTTTGGCTTTCATTGCACGTGACGTACGCAGGGAGTCGATAGGTTGAGATAGGTTAACACTGTGAACACGGTAACGGAAATAAAATTGTGAATTCCAACGTAGGAAGTTTAGTAGAATAAAGACCGCTCGAAGGTTAATAAAAAAGAAAAAAGAAGAAAAAAAAAATATTCGTCACGAAGATGCGTCAGTCGATATTTTTGGACTCCCCCAGCTCTTACCTTGTGTTAGAGAAGTTTCAAAACCGTTTTGAGTTGATGGCTCGGCCGCTTAAGTATGATCCTTGGATCTTTATGGATTTCCAATATGGCAGAGATGGATGTAGTTTTGCGGTGAATGTATTGCCTTTGTTTTGCCGAATTGTTTTTAATAAGCTGTAGCTCCATGTTCACTACCTTTTGTTTATCTGTGATGACAAACGTTTTCGTTTTACAGGTTAGGTATTCGAACGAAGCGTGTTAAGGAGAAGAGATATTCGAATAGTTTTACTATCGAGTGGATTTAAAAAATATCGCGTGTTTGCACGTAAAGGTAGTCCCACATGTGTGTGCACTTGTTACAAAGACCTTGCTTCGCCTTAATTCTCTCTTTGCATCTCTGTTACCATACATGCTGCGAAATTATGTGCGATATCTGCATGTGCTCGTGTGTTCATCATGCCCAACCTAGGTATGAGCAAAGTATGTGATGTCTATCGAAAGTCATATATCTTGTTAGTAAGATTTTGCGATGAAATTCATATCTTTGTAGGCACAGGACACGACGAATGTGCCAGGGGTACTGAAACTGCGGCTTGCGAGCCTCATGTGGTCATTTTGGACGCTTTGATTCTTAGAGAAAGCTGTGGAGGAAATTGATTTTGAAAATTTCCAGTATTCTACTAATTTTCGATAGAATTGATCGAAACTGATTTTTTTCAAAAAGGAACTCTGATATAACAAAAGTTACTTCACATTTTTTATGTATTTAGTACGTAGAATAAACCACTTTCATAGAGTTATTCTAGGAAATATATTATTCTAGGAGAAAATGTGATTATAGATTATTTTTAATAGTGAATGGAATGTGGCATTTGGAATATGGTTTGACCACCCCTGGAATATACGTTTTTGCTGATATATTTACCCGAAATGAGATCATCTACATGAACGATGATAACAAGTTGATTCAAACGAGTATCGAGATGAAATGTACGAAAGGCAAGCATTGGCAAGGGGCGATAGTGTATAGGGATGGTCCGGTAGTACGATCGCAATTATTCTTGGAGAATGTGCGATTGGAACGCCTGCCGATAGGCTACCGTGATCGACGATTGGTCGTGCGGGTCGCGGTAACAATGCGTTGTCTGATTTGGTAAAGAACACGTTGAGTAATCATCGGCTTTCGGAACTCGCTTCGAGTGGGGAGCGTTGAAGTTTTCAGGCTACGAGACACGTCGATGACGTCATCTCAGAGCTGGGCCAGCCATAACCTTGGACAATGCGCGAAACAAATTCTCTTACGTGTGATTTTTACTTCGAGAAAACGCACATGTTTGTGCAACGTGATTTCTGTTACTTTTTTCTCCATTTATCTGTCGAAATTGGTCGATCGTACATATCTCAAGGTAATTTATGGATACTTAACGAGGTTAGAATTCGTATCGGATAATTCGTAGTCATAAAGCGTCATTGATCGGAACGTAAACGTATTTATAAATGTGTAGAAGCTAGAAAATACAGTAGTTTCCATCGCGTAAAGGAATCCACGTTAAAAAATGACGAGTTAAGCACGAAGAAGCGGTTGGTTGGCTGGCTGTCGTTGTATATGTAGGTATCGAACAAAGGCTCGAAAAG